AATTTTTTTACTAGATATATTTGTATAAACTAAGATCTTTAGAATATTTAAGAATATATATTAATTTATAATTTATATATTAATTATTTAATTTAAATGTAATTTAATGGTGTCAGGCATTTGATGTTAAGTTGGTTCAAAATCTGCCAATGTCTATGACCATGGTTTGTATTATGGCTTGTTGTGTATAATGGCATAGTTTTGAAGTGGATTTTAAAATTTTCTTTTCAGTGGTCTGGGTTAATTGCTAAGTGGGACTTTGGTGAACAATGATACATGCATTGGGCTTGGAGCAGTTTATGACGGCGGCCATTGATGGAAATGCAACCTAGAAAGCTATATATGACCCCTGTAGAAATCCTTGCATTCCTGTGATACGGGTGTTGCAATGTTAGGATGAAATTTTTATCTGCTAGTTGTAGGTGTCTGGCTGACTGCATGAGATTCCATAGAAGTAAATTGTGTTTATCTGGTATCATCGTCCTTTTATGTGAGATGGGTAAATAAGCCGCTTTATTTTCAAATTGGGTGTTCGGAACATGGTGTTGATTGACAATCTGCTCATGTTCATGGCTATGGTCGTATTTGTGGTGAATAATTTATAGCGAATTGGTATTAAAATTGAGTGATGTGTGCATGCACTGAGCTCCGAGCTGTGGTTATTGATGGAAATGCAGGCAGCTTAGAAAACTATATATGAGCCTCCATGAAATCCTTTTGCTTTTCTGTTCGCAGGTGTTGGATTTAAAATGAAATTTCTTTTTGGGCTAGATTGGATTCTTAAGGTATGGATTGGACTTTGTAGTATTAAACTGTGTATAGAATTGGATTTTGTGTGATTACAATCATCGGATCAGTTGCACTCCTTTGGCCTGATGATGGAAAACTCATTTCTGGGAGCAGTACTATGGATTATTATAAGTACGAGCCTTTTCTATCATTCTTTCCATGCTAGTCCTCATCATCATCATCATCATCATCATCATCATCATCACCACCTCTCTCTCTCTCTCTCTCTCTCTCTCTCTCTCTCTCTCTCTCTCTCTCTCTCTGTGGCATGCATGGCCGAAGATGTGAAGAGGCTCATATTGATAATCCAGTAGCTAACCTTCGATGACCAGATATAGCTATGAGATCTGAAGGCTTGTGCAGAGACAAATTTTACGTTTGTAGTGATAACATCCTCTCTAAGGTGACCTTGCAACATGGATTCAATAAATTTTATAGTCAACTGGAAATAGTTGTGGTGTCCTGTGATGCAGTGATGATGCAGGAGCATCTATTAGAATTTCCTAATCTAAGTGGGCATCAGCCAAAAAGCTAAGTTTTAGTTGTATTAAATTTATAGGTTATTTTATTACTTGTTCTCCTATTCTTACTAGGATTTGGATTTAATTTCCTGTTTAGGTTTTTAATTTCCTATATCAATTAGGTTTTTTATATTCTAGTATAAATAGGCTATTAAGAGAATGTTGTATTTAGTTTTGTTGATGAATATAATTTCAGACTTTAGTCTATAGAGTTTCTATTGGTGTTTTGCCCTAGAACTCAATTATCTTCGTTCCAACTTCGATTCTACTGCTATATCCTTCTATTCTCTGTATTTTTGATATGTTTGGGTCACTGGACAGCAGCTTATAGCCGCTGCCCTGCATCAAGTGATCTTTACAATGGCACTCTGATCTCATCCATGGTTTTGTTTTTCTTTTGGTCTGGTATGTACTACAAGTGGGGAACTGCTATGTTTGATTCTTGCGTATATGCGCTTTATATGCGTAGACATTTGCCCAATGATGCATACTTGTGTTCTTTGGTGGTTGATTTGATTGTCAGTATGAGCCTTGATGCTTGTGTTTTTGAGTTGTTGTCGTTGTTTTTGTTGTTGTTGTTGTTGTTGCCATGGCAAGGCTGTAAATGAAAATCAAAGCCCACCATTATTGATACATTCAGGACATGATAAGATCTGAGGGCTTTTTTTCCTTTCTTTTCTTTTACTTGGGTAAGTGGTGTCAGGAAATGGATATTTGTTGGTTTACACGTTGAAGGTATGTTGGCAAATGTCTTTGTTGTCGGTCTTATGCGTTGTTTCTATTCTTCATCATGTTGATTCATATGTGATAACAAGTTTGTTGTATCTATATAAATTTTCCTTTGGTTTTAATGTTGAAACCTATTAGCTCTTTCAACATGACAATGTGCAGTTTTTTCTCATTATTTTTCCTACTTTCTCTCGTTTAGAACTCTGTTAAGTCTGGACTGGAGGAATTTTATAGTTGCAGTCTATGACAACTTGGGTGTCTTTTTTGCTCGTATTTTGATTGGCTCTCATTTTGACAACTATTTGCTTCCTCTTCCAGCATTAAAGGTGTATGCTCTGACTCTATGCTCTGACTCTCTGGTTAAGAGTCCCTGTAATGTTTGTGTTTGACTGGGCTGTTTAGGTATTGTTGGGTTACAGTCTCTGTTCCTATAAGTTGTTTGCTTAAGTACCTCAGCCCTGGTAGTGTTTAGTGTTTTTGCCTTTAGATTAGAGTGTGGATAACTAGGTTTTTAATTTTCCAGGGCTTGCAAACAATTATGACAGATTTTTTCTGCTTCTGTGTTTTTTTTAAGTTGATTTATGGGATTAATCAGTCTTGCGCTCACTTGGCAAATGATTTTTCCCCAGCTTTATCTGATTCTATACATCTTTTGTCTGTTATGATAGTTCATCTACCTGCACCTATTTGAGTTCACCACCCATGGTTAGCTCTATTTTTTTATTTTTTTATTTTTTTATTTTTTATTTTTTGAAAACCCAGAACTCCACTTTGTCAGCTTCCAAACTGGGGCCCACCGGTCGAACCCTACAATCTTTGGGCGGCAAGGAAATACAAGCATAATGCTTGGTAGGTACCTTGATGAGTGTTGAACCCCTAACCTCTTTGAGGGGGGGGGGGCCAACTAGTCCCAAACCCACTAGACTACAATTCATTGGTCCCAAGGTTAGCTCTATGATGGATGACGAAATTTCATCGAGCAGCTGCTTGGTTTGATCTGTCATTGACCTTTATAACCCCACAACCCTCTCTTTCTCCTTTCCTCTGTGTGTGTATGTGTGTGTGTATGTATATATATCTTGGTTGTGGGGGATGGTTTTTGGTAGATCCCATTAGCATTAAGCTGTGAATGATTTGATGGAATCTATAAGTTCTGAGGGCCTTCTCACACTCTAGTTTCTCTAGTTTTCTGTATTGAAGGTTGCCGAAACTGCTGAGTTCGTGTACCCAATTTGTTGATATGAAAATAGCCGCATGTGCCCATCTGAATTTGATTGATTTTGCACATCATGGGGATTTGGATTGTTTAGGATTCAAAATTCACGCACAATTGCAATTTTTTTCACCACTGCAGCTGTGTATCCATTTTTTTCTCTTTTTTGTTTTTTCTTTGGCTAATGAAAATACATAATGAATGTTGAAGCAAATCCATTTTCATAATTCTTGTTATCATGTTGTTTATAGCACATCTATTTCAATCAGCTGTTTATGCTTTTTCGGGTTTATGTGGATGCAGAAGTTTTGAAATTTGAACGGTTTTCTGCTAGGATATCGATTTTTATATGACAGCACCTCCTTGGGTAATTATGAGCTGTTTTTGTTTGCTCAATTATATTTCAGTTTGTAAAATTGTTCTTGTAAAAGATAGTCATCAGTTCAATTCTCACACCCTTTGCATTCATTAATTTACCCATTGACCGCCGAGTATTTACATATATTTTTTGTTAGCTGAAGTAATTTGCTATTTCCTTCATGTATAAGTTATTGTATGTGCTGTAGCTGTATGGAAATCATATATGGTTGGTTTCTTTTGGATAATGCTTTTGAGCATTCTCTGATAATATGCCCGATGATGCAAATCTGATTTCATGGATCAGTGCTTCACTGTAAGCCTCCATTTGTTACACCACTGTGACTGTCGTCAATGTCTTCTGCTGCTGCTGCTGCTGCTGCTGCTTCTTCTTCTTCTTCATCTTCATCATCATGTTTATTATTATTATTATTATTATATGTGGCGATGATCCAGTGGTGTTCCTGAATGTTGATCGGCTTTCAAAGAAGTTTCACTGTCTCAAATGTCTGAGGGCCCAAAACTTCATTTGGCAATTTAATTCATTGATAGGCCAATGGATTTGACCTGTGCTGTCTAAATGCGTCCCATCTGTTAATTAATGAAAATACATGTACAAGTTCAATAACAGAAAATTATAGTACTCTTATTAAAAGACCACAATAAAATTTTCACCAAAAAAGAAAATAGAGAAAAATAACACTTTCGGGAATATTTTTATAAAAAAGGAAAGAGAGAGACATGCTAGTTTGTGGTTAAGCTGCATTACTAGGCAAGGAGTTCCTTGGAATGGGCAAGAGGGAAGCGTCATCCAGTCTTGAACTACTGCTTGCCTTCTTTCTTTTAAGGAGATACGAGAAAGATATGCACATGCACGTCATGTAAGAATGTAGGAACTCCTCCATTCCTACTTACATGGTGAAGGTAGTATATGAAATTAGTTTTGTTTTTGGTTAGTAGTGAGCTGTAATGGCCCACATCATTGCCAAAATTTACTAACCGGTGTCGGTATATTCGAATTGCCAACGACTCTGTGAATATTAACACGTAAAACTAAAAATTATATGAATTTCAAATTAAAATCTGTAATTTATTATCTGAAAAATTAAGAATTAGACTAATTAGAATGATAATTTCTGTGTGTTTATTAACACATAGGTATAAAAATTATATGCATCTTAAATTCAAATTTGTAATTTATTATCTGGAAAATCAAGAATTAGATTAATGAAGTGGTGAATCTCTCTTCTATTCCTTGCTAAACCCAAAGCTTTGGCACGTGGAATGACAAAAAATAAAATTAAATAAATAACTACTGCCGACGTGTCCATCCTGACGCGGACGCAGCGTCTGCTTCTCTTTTGCTTTTGTCTGTTTGTTTGCTGAGAAATGTTCTTCCTTTTTTCCCCTTGATTTCTCATGGATGTTTTTTCTGTTTGATGAGAAGAAAGTATGGGAGCGAAGAGTAACCTTCGTTTCCTCGCGCATCTCTGCCATTGATTTTCTTTGTTAGAAATGTACAATTATGTTTCTCTGTGCTTTCTCTTCTCTGGGTTTTCTAATTTAACCAAGAGAACCAAAATGGGGTCTCAAATTTAGCGAAGAGAACACAGTCTTTCTCTGGTTTTCCCAATTCTCAATGGTCCTCTGCCTCAACCAAGAAAACCCAATTACGTTTAAGATTGATTTTTCACTTCTGGATTCATCTCTCTACGTCTTTCTCAGAGATTTGGATGTTTCTGTTTTTTTAGCACAGAGATTAAGGAGGCTCTTGAAATTGGCAAAAGTCTGAAGCTTTCGGCTTGAAAAGGAGGTAAAATCTTCTTATTAAAGACTTTCCATTTTCTTTAAGCATTTTTCAGTGGCGAGCTCCTAATTTTTTCTTAGTAACTACAGACTGCTACACCAGCAGAAAATTTTGGGAGAGAGTGAATGAGTGAAAGGTCTTACATTTCCCGTGACGCTTAAATTGCTTATCTTCTAGTATTCTAGTATGTGTTGCAACTATTAGCATATACTAGGATTACGTAGAATACAATTACACTTGAATTAGAGTTAGATTGTATCAATAAGAAAGCTTTTCTGAGTTCTCTTTGGCTACTCTGCTACATTTTTAGAACCGTAAATTATTGTAGAGTAGATTCTGCCATTAGAGAATATAAGACCTTTTTTTTGTTACTGATATTAATACTAATATGATTGAGCCGGCAAAATTTGAAAAACAGAAGACATTTCTGATTATGTGGGTGGTTAGTCATGAACTGTGATTCATCATGTGGAAATCCCACATGCATAAGCTGTCTTGCATTAATATTTCTTTTGATTTAAGCATATGGTGTTTCCATCTAACTCTAAGCTTAATTGCTCATTGTTTCCACAGGAGGAGGAGATGGAGATAAACAAAGAAAACAGGAAACGTCCTTCATCAGACTCTCTTGTACAGCAAAGTCAATGGGAACTGCACAATTCTGACCCCCCAACAGTTGCCTTTGCTCGTTCTATGGATCTAAATAGAGAAAACAAGAAACGTGCTTCATCAGACTCATTTTTACAGTGGAGCCAATGGCAACTGCTCGATTCTATCCTTCCAACAGGTGGTTTTGCTCACTCTTTTGGTCTTGAGGCAGCAATACAAGCTCGCATAGTCTCTTGTCCTGAAGATCTCCAAACTTTTGTAATCCATCTGTTGGAGAATACTGGAAGCTTACTCCTTCCTTTTGTCTATTCTACAACAATGTCGCCTGATTTTGAGACCAGGCGCAAACTCGACAAAATGTTGGATGCAATATTAACTAATGAAGTGAGTAGGAAGGCATCAATTTCACAAGGGTCGGCATTGATGAGGGTGGCTGCATCCGTGTACTCAGAAATACCATCTCTTAAATCTATGAGGGAAGCTTCTTTAAGTTCTGGGGTTGTTTCTTTTCACCATGCCCCTATGTTTGGGGTTATATGTGGTCTGCTCGGGTTGGACAGCGCTACTTCTCAAAGAGCTTACATGTTTATTACAATGAGAGATGTTATTTCTGCTGCAACAAGGCTCAATTTGGTAGGGCCCCTTGGTGCGGCTGTACTGCAGCATCAGATTGCTCCTGTTGCTGAAGCTATACTGAATCGATGGAAGGACCGTCCAGTTGAGGAAGCATGCCAAACTGTTGCTTTGCTTGACATTGTGCAAGGTTGCCATGGCTACCTGTTTTCTAGACTGTTCTGTTCTTGAAGTCCCCAAATAAATGCATCAAATGGCGGAGCCTGCTTGAACTTTTCTTAATCTTCTTTGGGAAAAGCTTCATCCAAAGACTGAGGAAGCATTTAATTCAAAATTCTCTTTTCAAGATGTGGAAGTTCCTAGTTACAAAGAGAAAATATGTATTACTCAATTTCTTTCTGGTTTTCTTTCAACTCATGGCAACAAATACAGAACAGGAAATTCAAAAATAAGACCTCCTAAAGGGAAGCGCTTAGATAGATGCACGTATTTATGGCAACATGTGGCAAACAATTCAGAACACTCATGGAAAATCATCCGCATAAAATATGTCAGTCAACATTTACTTCAGAGATTTTCTTCCTTTTCAATTTATACAAATTTATAAATAAACCCAATCCTAGACATGTATTTATAAAAAAACCCAAGCACTATTTAAACATAGAAACACACCCAAAATTAACCCCAAAGTCAACTTTTTGGGTGTGTTTATAAATGGGTTTTGAGTGTGTGTAATGATGAGTTTTGGGTGTGTTTATAAAGTGTTTTTGGTATTGGGTTTTTTTATAATTTCAACCTCCATTTTGGGTGTTTTAGTGAAACTCCCTTCAATTTACTGCTGCTGACAGTAATTTTCCAAATTGGAACAATTCTGTCAGGTTTTGGCAATCCATAACAATGACTAGGGTTTATGGTTTTCTTTCTGGTTTTTCAAAACTTGTGAGAACCACTCCAATATCCGCCTTACTTTGCCCTCATTCTTTTTCATTCATTCTCGTTATGAATGTGACCGAACTTGGATCTTTTAACTCTAGTTACATCCAGTCACACAAAAATTTCAACATGCTATTTTTTTTATATAGAACCGATAGTGCGAGAGGGGAATTAAACCTAAGACTTCGAGTGGAGTCGCCTCTTAACCACTTGATCTACAAGTCCTTTTCTTTTATCTATTTTTACATTTACTACAAGGTTTGCTAATGTTACATAAGTTAGGGGGTCTTAGTGTAATTTTTGGAACGTTACGAGTTTTTGTGTAAACATCACAAAATTCATGGGGTATCCGTTTAATTAACTTAAAAAATAAATACAAATTTATAAATAAACTCAATCCTAGACATGTATTTATAAAAAAACTCAAGCATTATTTAAACATAGAAACACACCCAAAATCAACCCCAAAGTCAACTTTTTGGGTGTGTTTATAAATAGATTTTGAGTGTGTGTAATGATGAGTTTTGGGTGTATTTATATGTTTAAATAGTGCTTGAGTTTTTTTATAATTTCAACCTCCATTTTGAGTTTAGTGAAACTCCCAAAAATAAATCGCGGATAATCAATAAATAAATCGCAGCAATACCATGGTGTTCCTACAGAGAAACTGAGCCATCCTCTGGGTTAGGGTTTGCATTTTGCAAAGAGAAAGATGGGGAGGATGATATTGAATAATGCGTTGAGGTCAATAGTGAACGCGGAGAGAAGAGGAAAAGCCACTGTGGAATTGCAACCTATCTCCACAGTCATGTCTTCTTTCCTCAAAATCATGAAACATCGAGGTAAACACCTCCATTTTCTTCTCCTTTTCTTATACGGGTTCTGTTAATTAATGCTAAATTATCCAACTTTTCGGCATTCTTATGAATTTTCTGCTTCTGGGTTGTTTTAAAGTTAGTTTTGTTGAGAGGGTTTTGAAATTGGTAACATTGTAGTGATTAAGGATCTCTATAACTTAGCTAGTATGGCTCTAGGAACTCTCTTTTTTTTTTTTCTTTTTTCCAGTGCTTTCTGTCATGAATAAGATGAATTATCATATGTTTTGGAGCTACTTGGCTTGAAATAAACTGTTGATTTGGAACTGGAGTGAACTTGGAGATGATAAAGGGAAGTTTTTGTTTTTGTTTGTTTTTTCAAACATGGCGTTGCTTCAATTGGAATCTATAATCTTAAATCTTCTTTTTGTCCTGGCTTTGAAAGTAATTGGTTGTGACAAAACAAGGTTACCTTTCTAAAGATTATGCAACTGGAAAAGACATCATTTCTAAGTATACCCGTATACCTTGTATTGATAATGCTTAGGAATAGAGGAATTTCTTCTAAAGTTTGGATGACTTTCAACAGCTGTTATAAGAACTATGTTGGTAAGCAGAGGGGTTTTGTATTCTCTGTATATACTAGATGAAGGGCCTTCTTTTGGGAAGTTGTTGAACGTACAGGAGAAACATAAGTAGCTAATGAAATATTTGGCCATGTAATCATTACATTTCTTGTTTGGTTTCTTTGGAGGAGGGAATGAGAAATCCATATTGTTGCCAAATGCTATTTGTTAGTTTGTTGCATGTGTGCTGTTTCTGAGTGTGGTATCGTTTCGATCAGGTTATATCAAGGATTTTGAAGTTTTTGATCCGCATAGAGTGGGGAGGATAACAGTTCAACTACAAGGCAGGGTTAACGATTGTCGAGCTCTCACTTACAGGCAGGATGTCAAGGCAAAGGATATTGAGGAGTACAAATTCCGTACGCTTCCAACGCGCCAGGTTTGTTAACTTCCTGATCCCTAAAGATCTGGCAAAATTCTTGATTCTTATTTGTCCCTTTTATTACTGAAACAGCCCAGCTGGGAAGGTCTGTGTGTTTACTTTATGTCATGGATCAATGTGTTCAAGAAAGGTTAACATAGTATGGTTTTCTCTCCTCCTCTCCCTCTCCCTCTCCTTGCAGTGGGGTTATGTTGTGATCACAACTCCAGATGGTGTCTTGGATCATGAAGAGGCTATTCGACGTAATGTGGGTGGTCAAGTTCTTGGGTATTTTTATTAACATCCTGTGGATGGGAAGAGAGAAAAGGTTTTCCTAGTCTTCTATGATGAGAACCTGACTTCACCGATGAGATATGTGCTGTTTGGTTGACTTTAAAAATCAATCAATGTGAATCTTGCGTACTGATGATTTAGATCAATGGAAGAACATGATCTTGGTTTCTCCTCTTCAAAACCCATACATAATCACTATTGTTGCATAGAAACAGGACAGAGAATGGTTATATTTGAATCTAATGAATTGGAGAGCATGCAATGTGAGAATGAGACATAAGTTGGAAAGAAGAGAAAAAATTGTTGGACTGCGTGGCATTGTCATTATTTATTTTTATGGAGGGAGATGTGAATGTCAATTGAAATACGTATAATTGTGGTAGAATGAGATGTGTACATGTTGGTGGAGGACTGATAAATTATATTATTGTGGTAGAATGAGATATGTACGTGTTGATGGAGGACTGATAAATTACAGAATCGATGAAGTTATTTTTGGTCGAAACAATCAACGAAGTTAGAACACAGTAAGAATTTTATGATCTCAGTCGCATTTCCAATGTCTTCTCGCCCCTATTTTTGGGGCTATGGGCTGGTCCGATATAATGGATGAGCTCAACCTGTTCCGTTCTGTAAGAGCAGCTCCACAGCTGCAATGAAACTGGGCAAAAGCCCTGGCAAGCCCAAGCCAGCTCCAGCGCAAGAGAAGAGGCCCGGGCAATCGATGGGTCCCACCAGTCCGGGCAAGCCCAAGGACAGGTTTCACCTGGGCTTCAGTCCGAGGTCGGTGATGTCAGCACTGACGTCATACCTGATAGAATCCAACTGGCATGCGCCACGTGTCGCAACCCAGACGGTCCTCCTTTTTTTGGCTAAAAAAATTGCTACAAAATTCTGAATTTTTTTTTTAAAAATACCAAAAAATTCTGGATTTTTACCCTATAATTACCTATCAATATTATTCACTTTTTACACCATAAAAAAAAAAATAAGGAAATTTTTTCTATAAACACCTACCAATATTATTCACTTTCCACACCAAATCTTCATACAAATTCTCTTCCATCGAAGCCGGAGAGTCGTGGACAAACGTTCGAAGAGGTCAAAATCTTGGCGACGAGGTAAAAAAAAAAATTTGTCGTTTTATTCAATTTAATGTCATTATATATATATATATATTTCTTGCATTTCCAATTTCCTTTTTTTTAAAATAGATTATTCAAGAGAAAACAAAAAAGGGGAAAACCATTATACATGGCTCCTCAAGTGAACAATGCCCTCAGTCGGTTCCAGTGGTGCTTTTCGTGTCAGAAATAATGGCACTATTACATCCTCCGAAGGAAAATACTCGCCCACGTTTACTCCCCCACGTCGTGATCCGGTGGAACCACCTCGTCCAATGATGGAGTTGCCCTTGTACTCCATTGTGTCGGACTATGAGGACCGTGAGTATTTCAATTGTATGATGAGTGAGTAGGTATTTCAATTGTATGTGTGAGATCTGAATTTTATAATAAATATGGACACGTGGCAACTGAAAATCTTATCCGAAAATTTAATTTGAAAATTTTATCCGAAAATGTTATCTGAAATTTTACGTGAGAATTTTATAATAAATAGTGACATGTGGCAATCGAAAATATTACCTGAAAAGCTTATCAAAATTAATGGTTTAAAGTATAAAAAAAATAGGAAATAAAGTACAATGAATAGTATTTGCCTTAGCTTTGCCCTTGCCCTTGCCTTTTGGGGTGGAACCACAAAAGGCAAGGCTACCACTATTCATGTGAATAGTGGCAACCCTTGCCCTAGACTTAGCCCTTATGGGTGGAGATGCTCTAAAGGGTAGGGGTTCAGCCTTAACTTTTATGTTCATGAGTAGCTTGACCTGACCTGATAATTAAGTTAATAATAATATTTTTATAAAATAAGCTAATATTAAATATAATCCCAAATAAAGTCCATAAATCCAACATAACCGAAATCCTAAATTAATTTAGTAGCCTAAATGAACCTTACCACCACCAACTAAAGAAGCATCGACGCTGCCACACCCACCACCTCATAAAGTCTTGAAGCAAAAACAAAATTCATAACACATGGTTTCTCGCAATCTAACTGCACATAAAAGCAAATAAATTTGTCAAACGAACAATCCTAGCCAAAAAAAAAAAAGGGTGATTTGCAACCAACTCCGTCAAATACGAGATAGAACTAAATTTAGAGACGATGAGTATTGGAGAGTGAATTTTGGGAAAGTAATTTGATTGAGGACATAGCCCAAAAGAGATTATGGGGAACTTCAATTTGAGCATGACCCGAAGAAATCAATACAAAAGGCTTCTTATTCAAAACTTCCAAAAGACTTATTAACTAACCCAAAAAAAAACGGAAGAAGGAGAGGGGAAAAGGATAGTGACGCTTCTTCCTCCCCCCTCTATGGAGTGTTTTCTTTGGGAAGAAGAGTGCTACGTTTTCTGGGTGGGCTTTTTTTTTTTTCTTTCTATTTTTGTGTTATTATGTTTTTTCAGTATAAGTAATAATCTAAACTATAGGGAGAGATATTTTTTAATACACACACATCTATAATGTCATAGAAAATCTGCAAGTCAAAACTTTTTTTTACTAGACTAGACTATGTTAGCTTGGGTTAAATTTGTTTAAGCTACCTTTACGAAAAACTTCAAATAGGGTTACCCGCTAAAATCCTGAAACCCCTATTCTACCTCTATAGCCGTTATTCCAGTAGTGACAAATTCGCGCCACCTTGTATTCCCAAAGACCCTATCAATTTGCAGGAGGAAGATGTTGGAGGCCAAGAGTCTGAGCAAGGCGGTGGTGCCGTCCTCTCTCATAGAGAATCCTTCTCCTGGTAGCCTCCAGTCCACTCGCCTCGCTCTCCATGTACTCCCCAAAACTCTATAACCCTAACCCTAACTCTTTGGCTTTCTCCAAAGTTCATTTTTGGTTTTATTATGCAATTATAATTTCGTTGTCAGGTTAGCGAGGACTGCTCTTCTTGTTGGGTCTACATCGCCTCCGGTTGCCAGATTTACAAACTCCAGGTATATGCCTGCATATCATAATTTGAGTCTTTTTGTTTTTGTTTCTATTATGGTTTTGAAAGTTGGATACTTGCTTATTTTTTATTAAGTTTATTGTTGGTATAGTCTTCATGGTGGTGGAGCTCATATCTAGTACCAAATGATTTTTCAGAAAGGGTTATAAAAGAAGAATTATGCCAATTAGTGGGACTGTATAATTTGGGTGTTTTTAATTGCTTGTAGCTTTTAAATATGAGAGGCATGTCTAAAATTTGATTTGGACAATTGTGAAGAAACATGAGTTAGATAGCCAAGTTCAAGTGAGAAATGTTTGTTTATGTTCCATATGTATTAGACATTTACCAAAATGTAAGTATGACATAATTTGCTCATATATTACTAGTCAAAGTGTATGGTGGTTAGGCTAGAAGCTTTATTTTATTTATTTTCTTTGTTTTTACTAAGATTCCATTGGAAGATTCTCTGATCAGCGAAGGAAAAGAAAGCCTTCTGATCCCAGTACACACTGAGGTATGCGATCTCATGAATTCAATCACAGATATTCACTAATGAGTATATTATGTGTTAATTGTGTCATCAACCCAATGAATCCTTGAAGGTTATGAACTCTTTGATGGTTAACCGCTGCCCTCATCGTTCAGAAATTCAGAGTATAGTCCTTGCTGAAACTGAAAGTAAGTGATTGTTGCAGTCAGGTTTCATTTTTTTGTTTTGTTAGGTCGCGTTCTTTGGAATATTATCTTTTCACATTTTGCGTTGGTTGTCCTTGTCCATGACATCATTGTTAAATTTTGGGACCTAACATATATAGAAGAGATGAGGGTACATGGTACTTTTGCACATTACTCCTCGTCTTTGACCTCTTATTTTTTAAGGGTTTTGTGCACTTCTTTTATTATCCCAATTGAAGAGTGGTGGTAACATTTTGTGGAATAATTTCTTAGGCCTTTGACTGTTTTGATGAAAGAGCATGACCAATTTGCACATTTTTATAGGATTAAATGTCAAACTTAGATGAGGGCATTGGACAGAATTTGGCTTCTCAAAGTGTTTATCAGAATGCACAAAAGCCTTTTGAATGTAGAAAATTTTATCCTGAGGCTGACTATCTCATTTCAGATAATGGAGAAAATTCTTAAGAAAATGTACAAATATCATTTCAGAATGGTTTTGGACATGTGCTCTTTTAAAGAAAAAAAATAATGGTTTTGGACATTTGTGTAATTTACTTATAGTTTGCTATCTTGATATATAAAAAAATGCAGGCACGGGCTATTCAGTGTTGGGAACTGTTGATTCTTATGGTCATCTTATTGTATCTAAACTAGATACTACTGGTACAGGTGAAATTTTGTATTTAAGTTTTGATTTGTGGTTCTATTCTTGTTCTGGGGATTTGTTGGGTTTGTGGAATGTATGCTCATAAGTTGGTGGCCTCCCGGGGAGATGATTTATTATGAGTCCTATTCAACCAAATCTCTGCCTTAAATTTTCGTAATTTTTGGAATAGTTAGCACACAGGTTTCTGCTTACCTTAAAATTGGAGAAATATTTTGTTATCTTTTTGGTAGGTTAAGTTGCTTGGTTACCAATGGCATGCTGGTCTCAAGGATGCAGGCTGGTGGGCCTTTGGTTTCTTAAGTTGCTCTCACCTATCCATTTTGTAATAAATTTTTTGAATTTAGAGTGGTGATTTTCCCACTCCTTTTTCTCCTATTTTATCCACTTACACTCCTTTTTTATAACTAAAAAAGGAGTGTAAGTGGATAAAATAGGAGTGGGGAAATCATTGCCCATTAAGAATTTCATTCACTCACATATAGGAATGTTAAATCACCCATCTTTCGAAATGATGATGCATAAAAGTGGGGTGTCTATTCATGGTTTGACTTGATTGTCCTTTTTCTGTTATTTTGTGCTGTAAGTGATCTTTGCCTAATTTAACCATTCTGTCTTTTAGTTTTCTTCAATACTTGTTTGTTTTATGTAACTTTACTCTTATACTTTTATCCAAAAGTGTCTCTATTTTGAATCCACCTTATGAAACAAGAAATTAACCATAAATAAATAATGACTCAAAAGATACAGACAGAGAGTTTATTTTTCATGAAGACTCTGTAACTACACTTTGCTACTCTTGAGCAACTACCTAACTTCCCTTTTTGAATTTCACCTATGAAAAATAAAAAACAACTGAAAATGAGTAACCAGAATTGCTTAAATATGGAGTAGTACGTAGTTTAAGGCAAAAGGGACTTCCCATGAAAACTTTAACCTCCCTTTCCCACTCATGAGTAACTAAATGCCTAAAATGCTTTAGCAGAAGGTAAAAAGAGTAACTACCCATTAATCCTCTTGACATTGAGATAGTGTTACAAACCTGGAGCATGTGCAAGAGGCTAGTACAAAAAATGCCCAATGGTCATCAGAACAGATATTAAAATTTAAAATTGCCAATAGGGTTTACCAAATGCATCGGTTTTTTCTCCCCTTGTATTTTGACTAGATACATTCTATGCATCATTTTACCAAGAAAGTTAGGCAGAATATTACATCGTCAATTGAATTATGTGAAATGGTTTAAACTATGCGCATATTTCATTTTTTGTTTGGCTTACTAATTGTAGGATTAACCTATTAAATTCTCAGATGTAGAGAGGCTTACTTATTCAGTATTGCCTCGTGACTGTGGCATTGGAGAAGGTGGTTGGGCGGGGCTTTGCTTCAGTCCAACACAATGGTCTACGGTACTGAGTGCTTACTTCTATTTTTACGCTTAATCTGAACTTTTGCATTATGTTTCATTAGTGAGTAATCAGCTGAGAATACCATAGTTGAACCATGTTCACAAATATAATATGAAGTGCACTGTCTTCATTCTTGATAATCACTTTAATATGTTGAACTCTGTTTGTCTTAGATTTTATTTTCTAGTGTTTTAGTTGTTTCTCATTTACAATCAAGATGATTGAGATTTTAAGAGTCTTTTTCAAATGAAACCTTGTTTTTTAAGGTTATTCATTTGTCTGTAAAAACCTTTCATTGTCTTTTTAATTTCTTTTTCTTTTTTTTCCAAAGGAGATTTTTTTTATTTGTGTACAGACTTTTTTTGACACAGTTCCAGTATCGTTAAGCTCTTGGAATTACAAATCAAAATCATTACAGTAATGAGAATTTATATATATATATATATATATATATATATATAAAAAATTATTCGTCTTATCTATAAAGCTCTCTCTAGATCTCTCTCTCTCTCTCTCTCTCTCTTTATATATATATATATATATATATATATATATAAAATAAAAATAATAATAATAAGAGGTTTGGCATTGTAGGCCCAAGTGTTATTCAGAGAAGCTGAGTTTATAAGAGACAAATGATGTGCAGACTACTATAATTTTACATTATAAATAAAAGTTGGAAGGAAACTTTTATTAGTCATATGGAGATGTCATTCCTAACGAGAAACAGGACAGATCTGCTTTTGCCTGTCCCTTCCTTTCTGAACATTTAATTAACTCAATAATTCTTGGGAGACTGTGATTTGTTCTCTGGTTAGATTTTCCTACCTGTACTTCTCTATCACTCTTAATCATCTCTTATTCCAGGCAGCTGTTGCACGTAGCTTCTGCAAAACGATTGATGTTTATGACCAGGACATCCATGTCAGGGCATTATGTACGTAAGTGTTACAGGTGGTGCTGGAATAGTTTTTTTGTTATGTCTAGTGGAAATTACCATCCCTGACATTATTTAAAAAAAAATTAAATTCCATATAATTGTTACCCTTGTTTCGTCAAGAACCTAGAGAGTTTGAAGAAATCACTTCAGCTGGGAAATTCATAAATGCCATCTTCTGAGCCCTCAAAGGGAGATTGGTGCCACAAAACCGAAAGTCTATTGATCCCATACAGTCAATGCTAATGGATGCTTTTCCAACATCACATAATTTTATGGTGTTGTGCATTTGTGTTCAGCATTTATTATGAACTAATCAACAAACAGAGAAATCTTTGTGACCAATATTAATGATTATACATGATTTCTCATTGCAAAAAAATTTCCCGGCTTGAATTAAATCTTAAAATTTATTTTACACTTCACTACAATCAATGTGATGGTTTAATATGCTTTCTACCAAGCAAAGAAGTGCCGAAGTTTCCTCACTGTGATTTGTAATGTTTTGAAATGTAAAATATTATCACCTCTGGTTGTTTCTAGAACTGCCATATTGTCTCAATTTACTACCGCATATTATGCCAGGATGAAAACAAAAAATTAATTAAAGAATTGAAGGTGAAATCCCTCTATTAGTCAATATTTGTTTTCTATATTTTGAATAATTATATTGTCATGAAAAGTTGTTGGCTATCCGGCTTGTATGACTAGTTAATGAAAAATGTGTCTACGTAGATTGCGTACGTGATTTGTGTGCACCTTGCCCAAAATTTTCATTTCACCTTAATGGCCGACTGATCACAGCTATATTCAATGTAGGTTCTGCAGCTATTCAGAAAACCTATATGCATTACCTAAGATCCATATAGAGCTTTCAGTCAACTTGTGTACTTTTATGTAAAAAGATCTTTGTGGACCTTTGTTGTTAACATAGCCATTTTACAGACTCTGGTACCCATCATCACTGAACTTCACAAAAAGTTCGCATTATGGGAATGAGGGCTCTATATTAGCAATCACAGAAGGTTCCCAGGTAGAACTTTTATGCTTTATGCATTTTTAGGTTTTCAAATGTTATCACGAACTTTATTCTTCAGTTATGCTTGAATTGCTCAGCTTCATCTATTGGAATAACTGTAGCTGACTATATGGGACTTGAGAATGAAAGAAAATGGTGGCTGTCTACAACGAATATGTGGTTCCCTTGGTGATGCGTTTTATGCTGTCTGCAGTTCTTCAACTGGGAATATTGCAGTCGGTGGAGCTGATCGTACAGTGACAATCTATGATCCTCGCAGGTTGGTACCATTTGGTTCAATATCATATCCAGGTTATTCAAGTTACTCTTGGTACTTTGATTCTTGTTGATTTAAGATTTTATGTTTTCCTCTTCAGAAGTTAAGGAAAAGAAATAGAGCATTAGTTGTCTTTTTGCCTTTTCTTTTCCACTCTGCTACAAACTGAGAACTGGAACCTGATATATGATATGTTCATTTGATGTAGATGGTCAGCATTATCAAGATGGGTGCACTGCTCGAAATATGAGGTCAGTTTTAACCTATGCTGCCTTGTTTTTGTTTATGCTCCATTTTACGGTTATTTCTTTACATTTTCACTCAATTTTTTCTCCTTTTTACAGTGTTATTTTTTTGCTCCTTCATGTTGGTATATGTGCATTATTGTTACAATACCTAGCTTGCAACTACAGAAATTAAGAATCCACGTAGGTTTTATTGTCTGAAAAGGATCTCGGACTCCATATTCCTTGTTTTCTTCTCCATGTATCCACCCAACCATGGCTATAATATGCCCCTATGTGCACCATACATGACTTGCAAATAAGTTGAATTTGCAATCAACAAGAAATTTGATTCTTAGAAGTGATATAGGGTTTGTTAAAGTTATTGCAATGGCAAAACTAAGGACTGGTTTTGGTTTTTGGATTGGAATTATTAATGATAATGACTGGAATTTTTGAAAATGGATTACCTATGTTACACGCAAATCTCTTACCTATAGACCTGACTGAAGGCCCTTTACCACCACATCATTCATGAATTGTTTGTATCCAGGGTAAAGAGTGCCATGGGTATGGTCAAATGCAGAGTAAATAGGCCGATGTTAATAGTTGACTCCAATCTTGAATATAGTGAACTTCCGCTCTGTTTTTTCAAGCTACACAATTTCATTCTTGTTTCATTCTTTGCGTCATATATAGCTGCTGGAGATAACATTTTAACTGCAGATAACGGGGCTTGCATTCTCTTCAGTTGACTCCGACTATATCTACATACAAGGGGTTGACTATGAGGTGATTTCGGGTTTTTTTACTTGGTGGTAGTTATGTTTTTTTACATGGTAATTTGATTTTTAGGTGAATTATTTTGCTTAACTCTAGTAGTTTATTTCTTTTAGTAATCACCTTAATTATTTTTAACAGATTGGTTGGATGCATTTATCTTGTTGTAAGGAAAAGTTAGTGTTTGTATTTTGTTATGAACACGAAGATTTTTCAAACTTCTGATTAGATGGTTCTTAAATTTTTCTGGTATTTATCCATCAGCCACCAAGTGTGGAATCACGTTCGCACATGTACACACTGCTATAAATTGGATCATGTTAAGGCAAGGTATCTTTTAGGTTAGTCGTTCGTAAATAATTAGATGCTATCCAAATCTGTCCTTGGGAAGTGACGATACCATTGGCTTGCTCTTCCCAACTTATTTTGCGACATTGGTTCTTGCTGTCCAACACAGTTAGTATGTAATAACTACACTGTACCAACTTCCTGGAAAAACAATGAGATCCATTCACTAACATATAGAAACTGTCATATATATTTAGTAATGTACTTTTCAGTTATATAATTATAACAATAATTGGAATACTAATAAAATCTATAGTTTGAAAGAAACAAAAAATGGAGACAGCCAAAGCTCAGAACTAAGTCCTCGTGGTTTTGGGCTTCCTAAGGGTGCCTAAGCAAATGGCCAAGGGAGCCCTAGGTGGCAACACCAGCCATGTCATCATGAAGATGAACCATAAGACACTCAGGGGTGACAAGCTTTATTTTCATGTGTGGGTCTGCTACGAAACGTTTTTATGATTAAGAGTTCTTCTGTAATACAAAACTTTTTTTAGTTTTGTTAGTGAAGTTCTTTTAAAATTTAATAGAGGCATGAATGAAGTTACTTTGGTTCTTACTAGTTGACTTGTTACTCTCAATTCTCATTGCCCCGCCTACAACTGTGTTTGCAGGTCTTTTGTGGACAGTGGAAAGAAAGCAGCAAGGTATTTTCATTTAGAGGAGACTCAAACTGGCTTGGATTTAGCAAGGTATTACTTCTTCTAATGTTTTGCATGGCATGTATGTAGACTACCCTTTCTTAGGCTAATTCTGTTGTCCTATCAATCAAAAGCTTAAATTGGTCGGATTACAACTTTGTTAATTGTAAATAAACTTATAAATTTTCATCTTCTGTTTAAAATTAAGTTAAAAGGTCTGATGAAATTAACCAAACCAAATTAGAGGGAATTGGTTCTCAATTGGGACCAGCAGTTATCCTTGTTATTTACTCCGTGTTATAAAATTTAAGCAACCCACAGTCCGATATCGAGTTTGAGTTTGTGTTTGCAAAGAAAATCCATATAGTAGTTACTTTTTCAAGTTACACTTAAATTATTGGTGTCTTTCTGCCAGCAAGCAAACATGTTTTTTTAACTGACCGAGGACATCCAGCAAGCAAAGAAAATCAATAAGTTCTTGGTCTACAATAAATAGTGCTCCTTCTAGTCCATCCATACAAAGACAGCGTTGCTGTGCTATATTGTATGATTGCCTTTAAAAATCTCAAACTGTATATGTTATTGCAGTGCCAAAACAAAGATGTTCTAGGTGGATGGTGCGACTCGGGGAGTATCTTTGTGGCCGATGTTGTAGCGAAAGAAAGCGAAACAAGCATGCTGCAAGGTTTTGCCAATGGATCTCCCTAATGCTTTGTTCAACTGTCATCTCTTCTATATAAGATGACTTTCACTTTCGTGTAGTACAACAGAATTGTAATAGCACAACCATGCCCCCCATTAAGCGACGATCCACAGTGACTTCTTTTTTTTAAGTTGTGGAATTTATATTTTGTACATGGAATGTATGGTTTTAAGTTTTTCTTCCTTAAAAAGGCAAGGCCAAGTGTGAACCAAATCAAGTATATGAACTGTTTCGTGATTGCGGTGGAAGTAGGGCAGGGTCAAAAGCCCATATCTAGAGCTTGGATCTTGTTTTTATAGTTTTTGTTTTTTGTAACTAGTTGAAGAGCTGTGGTGTGCATGTGGTCCTCTGTTTGAGATGAATGTGTCAAAAGTCAAGGGTCAAGATACCTGGCAAGGTTGACGGATATGGCGAATGGGCTATGCTGCTGTCTGGTTGAAAATGGGCTCCACCCCACCGTTGAGATCCTCAGCTCAGTCTCCATGAAACAGCTTTACCAGTTCCTTAAAAAGTCTCCCTTTTATATTCATCTACAAGTTGCAGAAAGATTATGTTCATAAATCAAATTGATGAAAGAAAAAAATATATATTAGCCCATTTTGGAGACAAAATTTCAAATATAAGGATTTTATTAAATATTAGATAGATAGTTTTTCAGATTTTTAATTCGTAAAATATAGTTGTTTGAAATTCCAAATTTTACGTAAGAGTTCGCAAGTTCTAATCCTCCCTCTCTCGTCCACACAAATAAAAACCTATTTCAAAAAACTTCTGTTTATTTAAGCTTACATTCTAGTCAAAATCCAAATCCATCTTTTCCATTCAACCCAAGTGGATGATAATTGATACTTGAATGACATCATGAAGAATTTAAATAATAAGTGAATGGCATCACCAAGAATTCAAAATTTTAAGTGAGAAAATTGTCTCTCTCTCTCTCACCAACAGGAAGAAGAAGAAGAGTATTTTTCCAAACATTTCGTGAATGGCCGCATATAATTTTGACCCTCCTTGATCAAAACGACATCGGCACACACGTCCCATTCCCCAGCATCAAACTCATCTCTGGAAGCTCTTGACTCTTCTTGATCTTGAGTTTGACTCAGTCTTGAGGCCCAAGAAAGAACCATATCATATTTTTTTTTGGGTATTTTTTAACATGTGCATAGTTGTTTTATTTATTTATTTACAAAGCGATATTCTAATTATTTTAACGTATAAAAGGATAACCAAACCCAAACTCATACGCAAATGGGCAAACACACTACCTTAATCAACTAGATTAATCCATATGCACATGTGCGTAATTGTTGAAACAGGTAATATTTAATTGGGTGAATGATGGGTTTCTTTCTTTGGTTTTGGAAAAGGGAAAAAAGGGAGAAAAATATTGAGTTTTTCTTTGGTTATTTTGGGCAGAGAGACATATCCCAGATTTATTGTAAAAGGGAGACGTGTGAAAGAGCCAAACATGTACATTTCACAAAAGTCAGTCCCCACGTAGCGGGCCATGGTTATAATATATTCTGGCCTTTAGCCAAATAAATTAATATTTCAAGGATTCGAATAAAAATAAATTTTTTTTAAAAAACTTTCTTTCTTGTTATTTAAGTCGGGCTTCTATATTATTATCAATATCAGTGTGATATGTGTGTAGAATTTTATTTATTTATGTGTTTTTGATAAATAATTTTTGCATATCTGTCAAACTGTGATTCGTAAGAAGAAGACAAGCAGTATCCAAAAATAATAATAATTTCGAGGACAGCAACTTGCAATTTAATATAATGGTCCATAAGTGGCTGCGTCAGATCATACGTCCACACCACACCACAAGGATATGCCTAATGTGATTATATATCCATGGAAGAAGAGGTTCTAATTCGAAGGAGGCCTTTCTTCTACATATGATGACTTGGTAGATTGTTTAGTCATTGGTCCTATGTTTTGTTTTGTTTTGTTGTTTCAAAAGCCCTATTGTCGTCTTAACATAATTTAATTATCACTAATAATTAACAAATTCACACATAAATTTATATGCAATTATTTGATTAACTCCTCACATCACATCAACATGATGCAACTACATAAAGTATAAAGTTCTAGGGTGTGACTATTTGAACCCAAATATTCCTCACTATATCCACCTTTTTAATGAAATATAGTTTTCCTATTTTATCCTAATATAAATTAATAATAAATAACATAATATTTCAAGCAAGAGACAAACTAACCACAAGAAATATAGTCTTTCTTTTCGCTATACCATTTTCCTTCCAAGTTTCACTAATTTTTCTTTAACCTTAGTTAATATATTCGAGTGTAACACTTCTATAATACATGTACGCGCATATTTTTTGAACTACTTTCGTTTTTTCGTAGACTTTTTCTAAAGATACGGTAAAATACATTTTTTTTTAAAATCAAGAACAAATGATTAGATCAAGTGTTAATGGTAAATTGTTTTTGAGAAATATTTATTACTTTGTATTGTATAATGGAATTGACATCTGTTTTGTTCTTGAAAATTGGAAGCTATAACAAGTGGAGCGTTAAGCTATTAGTATTATTTTTTGGAAAGCATAGCTGGCTTTCTTCTTGGTGAATAAAAATATAAATTAGGCATGTCTTTTGTGAAGAACACTATTCACGATATTTGTAATTGTGTCATGTGAAAAAAGTGATCAATTCCAAGAACCAGTTAGGATACGGCGATATGATTTTAACTTTTTCATAAAGATTTTCGAGATTCCAAACCTTCGCACAAATACAAAATTAAAGGAAGATGAACTTTCTTGAAAATAAAGCATCCATCAACTTCTCTCAAAAATACTATTAGGACATTATTAAATTACCCAAAACCCTTTTGTTATGAATTTTTTTTCCCCCGATATAAGCGATATTGGGAGAGGAAGTACACATACTGTTAAGGTGTCATGAGAGTTCGAATCTGAAACCACTGATAAGGCTAGACCCCGTTAGCTTCATGAGCCTTAACTATACCTTGTTTGGTATTTTATCTTTAGTCCTCAAGTATGTTTCACGAAAGAAAAGTAATAAAGTTTTGGGTTCGAGTCGTAACATCTGTGTAGTGTGTGTGAGTTTAGTATATTATCGCTCATCTCAATAAAAAAATGTCCTATAAAAAAGTAATAAGAAGAAAAACCCATTATTTGTTTACCTTTTACTTTCCTCTAAGATGCCATTACAATTTTCTATTTTTATAGTTTTGCTTGCTTGATCTCTAATTAATTATCTAAATTTCACTTTCAATGTTTATAAAAGGAAACTAAAGCTATTATTAGTGATGAAATTGGAGAAGAAAAAACATCCATTTTATGCATTTTTTTCTACATGGTACATAATATATTTTAATATTCTGTATTATTTAACAAGATTGATGTGCATGTTATTTTGTTTTGTAGCAAACAAGATTGAAGTAGTAGTCATTTATAATGGTATTTATATAGGATTTGACTTCAACTGTCATTTTCCAATCAGAAAATAATAATAATAATAATAATATAAAATTAGGACGGAGCCAAAAAAAACTTGAAATATCTGAAGAAGCCTGCCAAGTGCCAGGCTAGCTTGAGCCCAAATTCTCCGTTTTGCAATCTCCAAGATGTAATTAAAACGGGATAATTGTCATTAAAACTTGAAAACAATGCCTCATTTGAAATAAATGTTTGTTTAGAGATTTATTGTCTTTGGATAATTGAGATTATTAAAATAAATAAATAGATTTTCAGTGTCCCCTATCAATAATTTTCCTTTGCTTTTTGGGAAAAATAAAATAAAAATATTATTATATTCCCTTGTGTTGTGATATAATCTGCCCTAATTCAATGAAGAGGAGACCCAGTCAGACTCAACTCCACGTCCTCGGAGAATGGGGAGCACCAAATCCACACGTGAACTCGTTTTCTTTAATCAACTCGCCTAAAGAGTCTCCTTGTAAAGTAATTTTTGTTTTTTTTTTCGTAGGTAATTCTCTTATAAAATATTTCTTTTTATAGGTCGAATATTTTCCTTTTTTTCTTCTTCTTGGAATGCATGGTCGGAATTATTATTTTACTGCCTCCAATATTAAGACGACTGGCAAAAAGTCTCACCAATTCACATGCCTTCTCAAGAAAGTACATAAATAGTAAAAGGCGACAAGATAAAAGAAATGGACCATTTTATCATCATTTCCTGAAGTTTGAAAATGTGATCAAGCATTATTTAATTACTTTGTCATTAATCTAGTTTTAGCAGACGTCGTCACGTAGCTAAGACCAATTGGCCAGGATAGTACGCTTATACTTACACTCAAGTTCCTAGTTTCTCTTTCATATTATGTGTGTTTTTGCCTATTTCGTAGTATATAAATAGAGTCGTGGTACAAAATTCTTATCTTTCTTTCTTGGTACAATTAAATTCATCTCTTCATCTTACCTTTTCTCGTAGACTTTTATGGATATCTTGTTCTGTCTCGTTACTACATCAAGCCTGTTTTAAAAGTTAAACCTTAAAATTTGTTTAATGGTAGATCCTGTCCCTTTTGATGTTCACAATCTACTATTTACTTCAGCAGTTGATACTGGTGCGGGACCCACACAGCGAACAACATGCACACTGGACTGGAATTTGACACTTCTTTTCTTCTACGAGAGAGGGACAATTTCGTCTGTTCAATTTTTAGACAAGGACACACGTCATTCCCGTCATCTCGTCGGGCCCACATCCCCCGGGCCCCCTCTCACTCCCTTTCTAGAAGGACCCGGTCAGTCAGTCAATCCCTCGCTCCACCTCCAATTTACGCGCCAACGAAGACCCAGCTGTACCGTCCACGTGTACACTCCCTCCGCACAACGACTTCGTCCTCATCCCCCACGTGGCACAACGTCAGCCCGTCCGTGCCCCCTCACCCTCGGCGAACAATAACACACAACCCCCACCAAGCCCAAAGTAACACGAAATCAACGGTCCAGATGCAACTTCATCTCGGATATCTGAGGAGAGAAAGATTAACATAAAAAAGTAGGTAAATAAAGAAGTTAAAAGGTTGGAGTTCCCAAATATATACATCGTGTTCAGTCCGTGTTTAGTTCGCGTTCAATAAACTTTGATTAGCAGAAAGTAAAGTAAAATTAATTACTGAGATTAAGTTTCCTAATTATGGTTTAAAAAAAAAAAACTCTTAATCTCATTTCTTCCCCAAACCCCGAACCTCATCCCACCATAAAACGCGGCACTCTCTCTCCATTTGTATCTTACTCTCTCACCTTCTTTTTCTTCTTTTTCTTCTTCTTCTTCTTCCACCTCCATTAAAGCTCTCTGTCTCTAGGGCTCGCTTCAATCCAACCAACACCCAAAACCAGAAAACCAAAAACGATTGAATTTGAATTTTATAAATTTATCAAATTTTGGGGTTGTGTGATGTGAGAGAAGAATGCCAGCGACGGAATATCAAGGGTCGTCAGCTGGGTTCAACAATATTGGCCGCTCGATCTTCAGCCTCCGACGCGATCAGTTTAATTCAATGGAAGCCCATAGCCATAGCGGTGGTCAAGGAGCTGTAGACCTCGACTCTTTCCAAACCCACGTCGCCGATTGCTTCTTCCACCTCTCCTCTTCCTCCCAAGACATCCTCTCCCTCCAATGGCTCCGAGACCTCCTCGACGCCTTCCTCCAAATCCAGCAAGAATTCAAGAACCTCCTCCTCTCCTCCATCAACAAGCCCCTCCTCTCCAAGCCCACCGTCGACCGCTTCCTCTCCGACTACTTCGAGCGCAGCGTCAAGGCCCTCGACGTCTGCAACGCCATCCGCGACGGCATCGAGCAGGTGCGGCAGTGGCTCAAGCTCCTAGAAATCGTCCTGGTCGCCCTCGACCGCGACAGGACGCTCGGCGAGGGCCAATTTCGTAGAGCTAAGAAAGCGCTCGTCGACCTTGCAATCGCAATGCTCGATGACAAGGACTCCTCCAACACCACCCTGGCCCACAGGAACCGCTCCTTCGGCCGGAACAACCCGACAAAGGATCACCAGCATCACCAGCAGCACCGCTCGCTGGGCCACTTCCGATCTCTTTCCTGGAGCGTTTCGCGGTCGTGGTCGGCCGCGAGGCAGCTCCAGGTTTACGGTGAATTCGGTTTTGCTGTTCGTAATGTGGGCCCTGGTGGCGGCGATCCCGTGCCAGGACAGGGGCTTGCAGGTGCATTTCACGGTGCCGAGGAGCTTCACCTGGGCGGGGCCCATGCTGTCGCTGCACGAGCGGATTCTGGAGGAGTCGAAGCGGCGGGACCGGAGGAACGCCTGCGCGCTGCTGAAGGAGATTCATCAGATCGAACGGTGCTCACGGCTGATCGGCGATCTCGCAGAGTCGGTGCAGTTCCCGATCGCGGAGGAGAAGGAGAGGGAGGTGCGACAGAGAGTGCAGGAATTGTCGAGCCTATGTGAGGGGATTAAGGAGGGTTTGGATCCTCTGGAACGGCAGGTCAGGGAGGTGTTCCATGGAATCGTGAAAAGCCGAACCGAGGGCATGGATTCTTTTGGAAGACCGAATGAATGAAGAAGATGAGAGCAATCAATTTTTGGATTTGGGGGAGGTGGCGGCGGCGGCTGCGGGCAATAAAATTTGGGTAAGGAGGAGGAGATATGACTTTTTTTTTTTCTTCTTCTTTTTCTCTTGTAATTTAATCAGTGAAATCGATCAGCAATTACCATATATTGTGTATAGAAATTAGGATTATGCAAAGGAACCTACTTGGAGGTTCATGTTTGCTGTTTTTTCTTCTTCTTTTTTAACCCTTTTTATCTTTCTGTTGTTGCTTATTTATTTCGCCTTTGTATAATGAAATTTCTGAGCATGCTTCTGGTTGATGCTCTTTCTCATTTTGTGTTCAATTCTTGCACAAATTTTCGTTTGATCTCGAATGCATACCGACTACGACATAGGATTTAGGTATTTGAATTTGAATCCTTATATCAATGTACGAAACGAAATCATCGAAATGTCTGATAATGACTCACTCCCTATGAGGGGAGCAATCTTTTGGCTTTCTTCGTCATTGGATTGCAATTACTTATACTTTGATTGATTGGTTAATGCAAAGTGAGAAGGCCCCAAAAAAAGAAAAAGAAATGCCCTGTTGATTGTTCTTGGAATTTTCTGCTTGCCATATTGCAATAGGTAGCTTCAACCAGACAATCAGGCTCCAACTTTCTCTTTATGGAAAGGTTGTTATCAAGACTGCTTTTGACTTCCATATGCAGTTCAGTGAGGCTTAATGCATTCTGACCACTGGTAAATTACTCTACCATTTCTAGTGCAGCTGAGATTGATTGGCTTTTTTTTATATTATTTATTCTGGTTCCCTCTTATTGCAGGAATTTGACTATGATTTGGTCATATTCTGACCTTGAAAGGTGATGAAACCAGAATTTGAATTCTCTTCTGAAATTGACTGCAGGCTTCATTTTCAATTCTTGGTTTGCTTCCCATTCTTGCCAAGGCAATACCCTCCTGATTACTTTGGGCTTCAATTTTTTCCTCTAATGGAAAACATATCCGAAGTTCTCAAAGAGGCTTTTGCCTATTTGCCGCAGTGGGGGTGTAAATTTTTAAGCTCCTTGTTTGTTCAACATAGTCCTCTGCTCTTGCCTTCTTCCCTTTTGCCTCCCTCCTACGTTCAGCCCTTGTATATTTAAGTTCCCTGTCTTTCTCCGCTGTTCCGAAATTAGTGTCTTCCTTATACAACCAAAATACTAGTTTTCCTACTGATGCTACTTGGTGTATGTGGTTCTGTTTGACCTCCACCTAAATGCCAGCTCTGATACTTTGAAACAGTCACATCTTGAAGTAGCTGGAACAGTCCTGACTCTGCATCAACAGCCAGGATTCTCTCACGTAGCGTTTTTCTAACCGGAAGCCTCTGACCGAATACGTCCTTTCCCACCTATTTTGACTACACCAGATATCAGAGGCACGAGCCAATCTTGTGCTTGATTTGAGCCAATTGGAATTGGCCTTTGAAGATTGCATCAAAGCTATTGTTTAGTATATTTATTTTAGATACACGAAGTTTTTGCAGATCATCCGTCGCTGTCTTATCCTCAATTAGGGTTAAGGTGAAGAGTGCAGTTGGTAGCTTATGACATCAATCAACCAAGACTGGAGTTGCAGGTTAGGCAGGCACGCAGCTTCTTCTTGCCCTACCTACCTCGTCAAAATGAGAGGCTTCCAGAGCAGTTGACCCCCCCTATTGGGGAAAAACTCATGGTGAGCTGTTGCTTCAATGTAGGCTTTAAATGCTAAAAGCTAATTCTTGTCTTTTCTTGGTTTGGAGCTTAAAATTCCATGTTATGTGTTGACAATGTTTTGCATTTTGAAAGGTGGATTAATGCAGAGATTAGTCATTTGCAAAGCTACCCTACATGGCTTCGTGAGCTGTTAAGCCATTAATAATACCAATAGCTCTTCTTGCTTTTCACGTTCTAATTTCTGCAAGCCAGTTTCTGGGACCAGACGTAACGGCACGTAAAACTGTCCAAATTCAATGCTGGCTAAGAGTTTGTGTGGAGCAAAGTACTTAGCCAAGTTGGCTAGAGCAATGTGCTCTCCACTCTGCACCCGAGTTCGAATCTCCCTTCCCTCATCGCTTGTTTAAATAAAAATAATAAGAAGAAAGTCGCTTAAGCCTGAAAGTTTGTATAATTTTGATGTGTTGGGCATTTTATATCATGCCAATAATGAAAATAAATAACAAGAGAAAGAAAAGGAAGGAGACAAAAGGCTTTTCTAATCTCGATGATGTTAGGTTTTTTTTGTGTGGTCAATTATCTTGATGATGTTAGTTGAAGTGTGCCAGATGTATAATATGTGCGTGCACGTCCTATTGAAAACCGAATACTTGTACCTTTCGCTTGGACCAGGGAATTCAAGACTAATAATGAATTTGAAAATTACAGAACGTAAAATAACGAGATTTAACATTAACATAATGGATCATGGATTAACTTACAATCCCAAAAAAAAAAGGTAAAGTTGAATATACAAGAGAGGGAGAGAGGGAGCTCTGAAACACAGAAGCTATCTTTTTCTAGTTCTAATCCTGTTAATTGCTACCATGACTAGGGAAACAATTAGTGCTGAACCTGCAATGATGAATGGAGAGCACAGCAGATTAGATTTTTCCAAACAAGGCGGTGTCTTCTCTAGATCATCACTTGATTTCTCAACTTCCTCCTCTTTCATGTGTTCTTCATTGGTTCCTGCTTCTTGAATTTCATTTCCATGGCTTCCTTCTCCTTTGACAGGTAACTGATTGCTAGCAGGACCTTCTTTGATGGGTTCTTGCTTTTGCAGCTGAGCAACATCTCCTTCTGTACTAATTCCATCTGTAGTCTCTATCTGTTGAGCTTGAGCTTCTTGTTGTGTGGTTATTGTATCTCCTGCAGGTTTTGATGAGTCACTGCTCTCTCGTCTACTACGAATGTCATCCTCCAGCCCCGCATTTCGCTTTTCGCTTTGATCAGCTTCTGGACTTCTCTGCTTCTGCACCTGTTCTTCCAATTTGGGGAGCTCAGAACCCTTCTGTTCAGTGTGATGTATGGTTGCCTGAGTTTCTTGCGATGGCTTAGCAACTTCTTGACTTACTTGAGTGCCTGTATCTTCCTTCATTGTCTCTTTAGCATCCTCAGTCTTTGGCACCTTATAATCAGTTACAATTTGTTCAGTGCCTAATTCCTTTCTAGCAACCGTCTCTTTCTCAACACCATCAGCTTCTTCAATCTTCGCAATCCTTGCCTTTTTTGGCTCTTCTCTATTTCTCGATACAGACTTTTCTGTCTCTTGCATACTCTGTATCTTCGAAGCTCTAGCTTCTTCCTGATTTTTCCCCCCACCCATGTCCTTCCCAAGAACTCCATCAGCTACAGTTTCTTTCTTGGACACCTCTTCATCAACTTCTTTTCCCTTGATCTGACGATTTTCTTCCATTTTCTTTTCCTCAGCCTCAACAAATTCTACCTCAACTTTCCCCCTAGAACCATTTTTTTCAGGAACCTCTTCAGCTGCAGGTTGTGCCATCTGCTGTGTTTCTAGTCCTTTATCCACCCCATCATCTTTCACTTCCTCAATCCCAACCTCTCGAATACCTTTCTCCGATTTTGGCATGACGATGGTGAGAGTTGATTCGTGTTCCTTAAACTTGGCCTTGATTCGATCCAAAACCACTCCATCCGGAATCCGAAAGACTTTTCTGAAACTCCCTATCTCCACCTCTTTCTTGTACATTATCCGTCTTATCATCACCTTCTCTTGAACTGGCTTTTTCCCACTAATGGCAATCTGAGTCCCATCTTCATTTATGTCAATTTCAATATGCTGTCTTCTATAACCTACATTTATCCAAAGAAAGTTAAGAAAAAAAAAAATATATATATATATATATATATATGCTGGCATACACACACACAGAACAAATATTAAGGAATAATTGAAAATGATATTAACCTTTGAGATGACCAGTGAGGACGAAGGTAGTTTCGGTTTCTTTCGATACGAAAAGAGGATCGGAATTGTCTTTGGCAATCCGAAAGTTGGCAGAAGAAACATGATCATCCATGGTCTGGGTGATCTTGAGTCTCAATTCTAGATCCATTGGTGGGGTTGATTTTCTTATCAGAAATCAATTTTAGGAACTCCAAAATTTTAACTACTCATTTGGGTAGCAGAATGTGCACGTGTGAGAGGGGAATGTTAATAGAGCCCATATTGTCTTTTATTGAGCATATGAAACAAAGCACATATTCATTGCTTCCTTATATGGCATTCTTGAAGGCGTTTAGGACGGTTAAAATCCACTGCTTTCCGAAATGTGGGTTACCTTGGCGGGAAGTTAACGGCTCTATGTTTGATACCAAAATGAAGTTCAAGCCATGCGCATGTTGAAGAAAAATGTGAATTTTCCAATATTATTTCATCATTATTGGGAAATTCACATTTTTCTCTTTTTGGTGATTATTTAAATAATGGGGTTTTATTGTTTTAGTTTTGACCCATTCGAGACACGGTGTCTCTTAATTACAATCACTTACTTCAAGGGAATACCTTTTGATTTCATCATAAAGAAACATAATGTGTGTTTTTTATTTTGAAGCTGCTCCCAAGTCGAACCTAAGGGTGCCCACGTATCCCTGTTTGGGTCTAAAAAGAGATCCACGCGCGCCAGCCCATCTACACAAAGAAAGGCCCACAAAAACAGAAAGAACAGAAGACTGGGCTTTGACCCCGAATAGCCCAAACCACATCAAAGGCCCATGTCTTTTGCAAAGTGGTAGAGCGGTAAAAACATGAAATAAATCAATAAATGGGCAAATAAAAGACAATTGACCACCAACCAGATCGATAAAAATTCTAGCCCCTGTACGTGTGGCGAATTTTCAAGCCTAACACGTGGACAACACATATTGGGTGACGTGAGAGCACATGTGGCCGTTGGGCCCAACACGTTAAGCCTTGCTCTGATACCATGAAGGAAGTTGAGGTTCCACCCCAAAACCAATTGGTAATGAGGGGAGTAGCCCAACTCCTTATAAACCCAGGCTAGGTCCCTTAACATTTCAATGTGGAACAAATACTCTCAACAAAGAAGAATTGGATAGGGCCTAGCTTCTAAATTCTCACCATTTGATCTCAAGCCCAGAGTACAAAGCCAACATATTTTTTCTATTTCACAAAGGAACCCATGTGACTACCTGACTTTGAAAAGTTAACAATTTCAACTATCACAAGAGAGTTGATAGGAAATTAATGAAGGCATATCTTAATAGGCAAATATCTCCAATCTTTTCAGTCAAAAGAAGATCAAAATCCTTTTTATATGTGTAGAAAAATTCTGCTCCAGAGCAGGTGCCATTTCCAAGGGATAAGCAGGTTATATTTTCTAAAAAGATAAGTAGGATGCAGGGAGATTAAAAATCCAACTCCAGAATTTCCTATAAATATAAGAGGAGGAGAACAGATCCACCACCAAAAAAAAAAAAAAAAAAAACCAATCAAAAACATAAACTCAAAAACCTTTAAAACACTGAAGCAACTAATAGCTCATTGAGCCACAAGAAACAAGTCAGCTACAAATTAGAATCTCTAACTCCAGTTCAGTTTCAGAGAAATAGTCATTCAAAGCGAGATTTCTCTCGTTACAAATTTGGTTCAGCATAAGCCAAGTCAAGCAGAGTTCGGGTTTTACAAATATGAAAACCTCAACAAGTTTATGGAGAGCCCTGATCAAGCAAAACAGGTGTTACAGTGCAGTTCCAGCTCAGTAAATCATCAAGTCCAGCCACTTCTGCCCATTCTAGACTGAAAAGGTCCCAATTCTGCCTATTCAAAAAGCCTTCCAGGGCTTGAAATAGATTAAAGCTCTGTCAAACTCAAACATTGGTATCGATTTACAGTTGAAACTTGATAGTTGAAGGTGTTGATAGTCCAGTCCAGCACAGGCATACCCAATCAAACCCAGATCAGAAGCATATATCCAAGCAGAAATAGAAGTCCAACCCTCTTTTTGTCTTTGTTGGAGTTGGTTTTCCTTCTTGAGCTTTGTAAAAGGCAGTTCTACTTAAAATATTCACTTTCTTATATTTATTCTTGCCAGAACTACCATTTTTGTACTGTGAAAAATTGTGAAGTCCTCGCCAGTCTGAGGCAAGAAAAGAACTTACTTGGGAGATATTCCTCACCCAAATTCACAACCGCTTGTTTAGAAATCAGTAACTTGGGGTGCAAGTTATCTATTTTTAAGAAGTCTACTAGGATTTTCATTGCTAGCAGTGGCACGCTCGCAAACTAAAGAAAATTGACTTGTTGACCAGTCAATGGTTTTCGAGGCAATAGGGAACTTTACCCTACCATCATAGGAACAAATCTAAAACGGGTGAACAATCCCTTGTAGGAATCAAACTACTCGTAGATCAAGGATTTGCAATGAATAAGTGACTCCTTGCAAAAAGAAGGATTTGAATGAATTTGATTGAAAAAGTGTTTGGTGAATTCAGCTAAATAAACCAAGAATTCGATATGGAATTGTGTCTGGGCCAATTTGGTTAAGAATAAACCAGAGATTCTGTTTGGATTTAAGATCTGGGCAATTACATCTAGATTGAGTCTCTAGATTGCCTACGTACCCTTTAGAAGGGATCAAACCAACAAAGTTCGAAAATTTGGAAATTAATGGGTAAGTATGGCCTACTAATTTAGAATTTGTGTATTTGAAACAATTTGGAGATTTTTACGATTTTCATAGGTAAATGACCCATGGGAAAACTTGGATGGTTTTGTACTATTTTTCTTATTGTCAATGTCCAAGAAAATAATGCACAATTTTGATGAACCCACTAAATTTCTAAAATTGACATTTGCATTTGGAAAAGTGTTTGGGTGAATTTGGTTAGGATAAAATAGGAATTCAAATTTGGTTGCAGTTGCATCTAGTGGGATGCTAGACTGCCTGCGTACTCTTGACAGAATCAAACTGACATAGTTCCAAAAAGATTCTTTAATTTGCGTGGTTTTGTACCACTTGGGCTTGTGACTTGGTTTTGTACCACTTGGGGTTTTGGCTTGGTTTTGTACCACTTGGGATTTTGGGTAGTTTTGTACCGCTTGGGATTTGGTGTAGTTTTGTACCACTTGAGTCTTCACTTGAAGATTTGGGAATTAATGGGCCTTTTTAATTTTGACGCCATTATTCCATAATTTGTGGATCTGAGACTTTGCACCAACTGTTTCCCATTTGGATTTTTAATAGACGAGTCCATTGTGCTTGAGACTTGCAATAGAACATGCCCATTGTATTTTAAACTGTTAAGTCTTGGGATGTTGTCTTGAGATATGAAGTTTGAGCTCATTGGGTCTGAAGCCCATTTTGTTATCCCTTTCTTTTTACAACTTCTTATCACGCCTGCAATTGTCACGGTTTGAGGTGAGCACTTCTTGTTTTTGCTTTAAACCACCTTAGTCGATAAGCCCAACCCAACTTCCTTGCATTGGTCTCCCTGCACTTCTTTTTGTTTTGTTTTTGTAGCGTCATAGCCCTAGAAATTGATTTCACATAAATTTATTTATGGCATGAAGGAAAACAAAGCTTTCTTCCTTGTTCTCCTCTTCGGCCTTCTTGGATTTCCTTCTTGCTGGCGTTAGGACATGTTAGGTTGCCACATGCCAAGAGAAGAAGAAGTGCATTTGTTTCTTTGCTTTTTGCTCGCAGCGAAATCAGACTTGGTGACAAGACCCAACCAAATTCCACTTTGGAATTTGAGTCGAATCCTGTGCGTGTCCGACATCTGGCAGATGCCAGGCACATTTGACCAAAATGCCTTTCTAAGTTTCCTAAATTCTTTTTCTTCAAGTTTGACTTCTGCTGAAAATTCGGCAGAGTCTTCCCTAACTCTGAAGCCAGTGAGCTCCCAAAAGACCTCGTGCTAGATGGAGGTGGACATGTACATATAAGGCACATCAACCTCTCTCCGTTGGTTGATGTGGGATGTTACACTTGAAGTTGTGACTTGCCCTTGTGATGGGTTTTAGATGGTTTCCACCAGCATATGAGATCAATCCTTACGGATTGTTTTGGGTGCTTTAAGCCTTGCAGTGACTTATTTTGGATGCTTTAAGCATCGCCAAGAGAGAGGCCCTGCGATAGGGGTGGGCATCGGAACCGAAGAACTGATAAACCGAACTAAACCGGGCTGGAAAAAATTGAAAGAAACCATGTTAATAAAAAAAGTCAAACCCAATTCAAATAACCGAACTGAACCGATTCTAATCGATTCCCATTCCGATTCTATACCCCAACAAATCTAACCGGGCCGAACTGAACCGGCCAAATTTTATATTACAAAAAATAATAATAAATTTAAAATCCAATACTATATTTTTAATCTCATAACTAATATTTACCCAAGCTCAATTTCAAAACATCTCTCTTTTCTAGCCTTAATATTTCTTTTTGTATGAAATTGGATTATTGTTAATTTTCAAGCCAAAATAAATAAATTTTCAGTTGAAATTTGTATAAAAATAATAATTTGAAATAATAAAACAAAAAAAATAAAATTTCAGTTGAAATCTGCATAAACTTGTGTAGTATTGGCCCATAGACTTACTTTTTTGTTGCATTTTGGGCCTACCCAAAATATGCGTGTTCGTATTAACTACTCTCCTGATCAATCTAAATTCTCATTTTTTAGGTATTAAATTTCGGATTTTAATGTGAAAGCCACGCTAGTTTTGATTCTTCTTGTGTTACTAATCGCACAATTTATACTCCTTTGAACTTTGAATCAATCAAATGAATTTTAGTGCCTGACAAAAGAAAGAGATTGAAGTTCAAGACTCCTTTTCTACACTATCTCAAGCTCAACTTGAGGTGTTTCGTTTAAGGATATGAAAAGAAAGAAAAGAAAACAAGGGACATAGTCAAAAGTTAACAAAAAAAAGGTTGTCACACTGAAAATTATTACTGAAACAAGTTATACTCCCAGAATAGAGTCTACCAGAAAAGGCTTCATCATTGCATTGCATCTGTAATTCTCTTCAGGGCAACAGCATAATCATTTATTTCATCATGTGAATATCAATTAAACTTGGATTCTATGTAGTTCTTCTTCTGTTCACCCTAAGTTGAGAGGTAAGGCAGGCACTATGCCCACCACTTATCCAGCCACAGGCAAACATTGAGTTGTTGAGATTCTAAATATTTTCTTTAAATTTTTCATTAAAAAAATATTTTTCTTGCAAATTTATATGGAGAAATGGATCATTTTTCTTGAAGTTTATATGGAGAAATGGATCACAGGTCATGAGAGTGATTAAAATGGATGAGAACATCATTCCTTTTCATATTGTTGGGATCCAAAGTGCATACCTCAACAACCAGCCTACCAAATTGCTTTAGGTACCAATATGATGGGTTACTTTAGTCAATTGATTGCTTTATGACTTTCAAATTTTAAATTCTTCCAAAAAACAAGAAAACAGAAAGAAGAAGAAGAGGAAAAAGAGCAGGATAAAGTAGAAAAAGAGAGAGTAGCAATTGATTGCATGCCAAAATTAAAGGAGCAAAAGTGGTAATGATTTCCAAAGTAGGGACTAAGAGCATCTCAATACATGGTAAATAATCATCACTCTTAAAGTTACTTCAGACTCCACCACACTGCCTCTCTGCTCTGCCTGATCAAGATTTACCCTACACCAGATTTAATTTACTTACACATATTACAAACCATCTCTCTCTCTCTCTCTCTCTCTCTCTCTCCTTACCTTTTTACAGCATCAGGAAAAAAACCACACAAAATAGAGCCATTTCCATTTGAAGAGCAAATAACCGCACCAACACCTGCGGTTTCCACCCACAGTCAGTACAAAAGAAACCCAATCAACATCCCATCAAAACTCGAAGTAAAAAAGTAAAAATAGAACATTTACACAACATTTTTCATTATTAACTGCATGTAGATGTACATTTTCATGTATGTAAGCATATGTGCATACTTCATTATTATGTACTGTGCTAAACTTACAAATGAACAAATTTAATGAGATCAAGAACCTATAATCAATAACTTTACACATACAATACTAATCGAAATTTGAACATCTAACTCAAAATCAATTAACAACAAGTGAAATCACCTGATCGAAAATTAAAAAAAGATAAAGAAAATTGAGGTACCTGCCCCTGGTGGCCAGAAGTTGGTAAAGGGCGTATTGTAGCAGAGTCAACTTCACCAGTAGGCAGAGGAACTGCAGGGTTGCTGTTAATAAATGGCATACCACCACCACCACCTTTGTCTGGTACAGCCACTGAAGAACTCACGCTTGGTTGTGGGCTGGGAGAGAAGGAAACTTGGCGAGGGTGGAATGGCCATGGATATGATGGAGAAGATGACACTGCTCCTCCTCCACCCGAGCTTGGTGTTGGGGAAGCCATTGGAGGAAGCTGTGGAGAAGTTGTTGTTGAACTTGAACTTCCTGGTGGTGCTGCTGCTGAGGAAGAGGAGGAGACTCTGATAGCCAGCTTTTGGGTCTCTTGGCATGTTTTGAGCATAGAGCCATTGTTGAAGGCAAAGTAGAAGAAACCAGGGCGTGATGGGTGCCACTTTTGCAAATGTAACAAGAATTTTAGTTAGAAAGCCAAATATTTTAGACAATTATGACATACCCAGATGGAAACTACTTCTTTTAAGAATTTTCTTGAAAATCCAAGTTAAAAACAGAGTAAATTGAACTATTTCTCAGGAAAAATCAGAAAAAAAAAAAAAAAAAAAGGTTTTGTGAGTGTGTGTTTGAGAGAGAGAGAGAGAGAAAGAGAGATACCGTGAAGGACGTGGAGTCAGGTTTGTTAAGAAGTGTGGCTTGAGTGAAATTGCAGATATTGAAGGCTTTTTGGTTCTGGAAAATGTAGAGGTTGTGCTGATACTTGTGCTTAAAAACTGAAATACTCAAGACAAAAGTGTTAGAAGGCAGCCTAAGTAAAACAATGCTTAATTAATTCAACCAAAAATAAATCAAAGCTTGAAGTTCTTGAATTTGTTGGGGTTTTTTCTTTTCAGTTTGAAGTACTTACTGATGGAGTCTCCTACATGAACAGTGGGATTTTTCCACTCTGAAACCCCATCTACTAGTATTGTGGTGGAGTGAGAATGCTGGAAGAGAAAAGAGAGAAAACACAGGAAGATGAGCATGGAGAGCTTCATCTTCAGGTTCTCTTTTGATTTGTTTTTTTTTGTGACAGCAAAATATTAGATTAGAGTGAGGCTTTGGTCCTTTGTAGCCTTGCTATCCCTGCCTCCTGCCTGCTTCTGGGTTTTTGACAAAGAAAAAAGGGTTTTTGAAAAATGTGAAAAGAGAACTGTGAGAGGAGGAGAGTGGCATAGAGACTGTTAAAATGTCAGTGGTGCTTAGCTTTTTCATGGGAAGAGTATGAATGGATGACAGACATAAATGTTGGAGATTGTGTGGTGTATTTCTCATTATTTTAAACAGTGAAAGGTTGAATCATCTTGTTGGTAGAAAAATTTACCCTTAAAGAACAAAGCTTTTAAGAATTATATATGATTAAAAAAGGAAAAGTTTGAGAAGTGATTATGAGAAGTTTGGGTGGCTCTGATTGTTGATGATGGGCATTATTATTCTAAAATGATTAGCTCAGTGATTATCAACCTGCAGTCTACATTTTCAATCCAAATAAACTGATGTCTTGGGGGGTGAGCAGTGGAAATCACTTTCTTTTATGAGGCCCTTTTTAAATTTTTATATATTTAATCCATAAATAATGTAATTAGGCTCATACTTTGATGCATAAAATAAGATTAAGGGAATAAAATCTTTAAAGTCTCATTCTTTTCTTTCTTTTTATCTCCTCCTCCTCCTCCTTTCCCCAAATTATATAGTTGTGGTGAGAATGGAGGACCAGAGAGATGTGAGAATCCTCTTCTTGGCCTCTGGCAAAGCCAACAGCAATCTGCCATGTTATAAAGACAAACGGAAAGCAACTTCTCCTTGCCAATTATCAGAGCTTTTGGAGGCTTGATAAACTCAAACTGTCATCAATTCAAACACCCTACTTTTTCAATTTCTAATCTTTTGAACTCCAAAATATACAAAACCAACAAGGAATTTGTAGCTCCACCCAAGAGAACATTTACTCCCACTGTAAAACTTAAAATCAGCAGGATCTCTAAGGTGAGAGCAAAACTTCAATGAGTTCTTCTTATTGCGTAGACGTGCTAAGTGGCAGTACAATCCAATTAAAATGGAAGATGCATTTAAATTTTGGATACATCATCATCTTTTAATTTAATTATTTTGCCAATCAGTAGTATCGCAGAAAAAACCCTACAAAAGTTTTGGTTTTCATATGTTGTTATGGTCATCAATCACAATATTAAGTTAGTTGGATGAGTAGTTTGAGAAAAAATTTAATGAAGAAATTAAAAAATTGCTAATAATTCATTATTATTGCTTCAAGTAAATTGCATTTCATACAAGTGTGTGAGATGAGTTTAAAAACTAAAATAAAATAAACAAGTGATATTACGAGAGTGAGATTTTGAACATAAGAACTCGAGAGATAATTACTCTTAATTATTTGAGTTACGAATTCATTAACGTTGTGTTTAGTTTTATTGGAAGGGCCTCATGTAATGTTAAGTTTTGTCCAAACACCTTGGCATTGCAATGCAAATTGCATAGAAAGAAGAGGAGTGGCGCGGAGGCAGAGAGAGCAACACATGCCTGCAAAAGCAAACGTTAAATTTGATTTGTATTTGTCGATGAGGCCAGTGGGCCAATTCCTACTGATGTTACCCAAAGGACGCGAAGCTACAATACAATAGCACTGGGCAGGGGACTACAAGACAAACACAACGCAGTAAGCTTCGAAAGGATAAAAGAGAAAACTATAAATAACTAAGACCCAAAACACAGAATATACCAAAAAAAAAAAAACCTCTAAATAATTAAATATTTGCAAGACAATGTCGAAAACATACCCCATAATTTCATATTTACAAGTAAAACTCCATGAGGTGAGGGAATGAAAATAATAAGAGAAAAAAGCCTCAATCAGTGTTTTTTTTTTTTTCTTCCTCTATCAGCTCAGCTCAACCAGTTTTTCTTTAAAACTGTTTTTATTTTTATTTTTATTTTAATACAAGTGATGGTGTGAATTATGATACTAAATGTCATTTTTCACTCAGCTAGACCATTTTGGCACTTGTTTTCGAGTTTTTAATTTTGGGTTACAAGGATGGAAGATCAGTTTTGTGATGTTAAAGTTTTTAAATTAAACAAAGGGAAATAAGAAATACTTTTTTTAAAAAAGATAAATGAAATAAGAAGTGACAGGGGCAAGGAATAAATAGATTAATCAAATATATTTGTCAGTAGTTTTATTAATTCTAATTCTTTAAAGCCACTCTTGCCTAACTCAACTGGTCTTTGGGTAGTCTTCCTCTCTCGGTTGTGAATTCTTTTTACTTGGACTTCTTTGAACCAGCGTGCCCTCGTGAGTCTATGTTCTGTTAGTCTTTTTTTTTTTTGCATTAAAAAAACAAAGGGCATTTGACTTGGTCTTTCGGAGCAAGGCCCATTGCAGACAAGAGCTGAAAAGGCAAAGCAACTCTTTCACAAATAAAGGTATGGATGAAAAGGTCATTCGAAAATGAAAATTGTCACCTAATCTAAAATATTTTTCTTGTACTAGGAGGGTTTCAAGTAAAATGAATTTAAATTTGTAGGGTGGAGCCTGGATGCATTGATGAATCTCTTGTTCCGATGTGACATGCCAATTCTGCTCCTTGTCTATTAATTCGTCTAACGCCATCTGCGTGATAAAATTTCCTGTCTACACACACGAGGATGAGCCTCTACATTTTATGTATTGCATATGGTTCACGAACTTTTATTCTGACTAATAACGAACAAGGATATTCATTGAAACACCAGCATTCTCCACATGATGACACGATCGAGAAAGATAAAAGTAAACAAACACACAACAATTCAATAACGCGATCGAGAAAGATAAAAGTAAACAAACACACAACAACCCAGATGGTTTGCAGCCAACTCTCCCTCATCTACTACTCTAATCTGCTAATTCTTTGTATTTATCTCTGCTATAGTTATTCTTTGCCTTTGTATTATCATTTACATGCTGATAAGACGTTTGTTTTTATCACAACATTGTACATTGTTTGTTATTATATGGGAACAAAATTCTTCATGGTATCAAGAGCGTTCTGGTCAACATCTTTTTTTTTTTCCGATCCTATGTTCTTTCCTATTCTTCCATGGCTTGTAGTAGCAACTCTGCTGCTTCCTCTCTTGCTGCTGCCTCTACTGTTCCCAATGTTACCAATCGTCTTTCTAAAATGTTGTCTTACATGAAATGGGCTTATCTACTTTATCCCAAAAACCAGAAAACCATATACTTGATTTCTTGGAGTTGGATTTGTTATGGACATTGGTGGTCCCACAATCAGCTCATTTTCCGATAATATTTGTACTAATTTTTTTCTGATGTAGTCTGGGGTAGCTAGCTAGGTTTGGGTTAGATTAATGGTGATAAGTTGGAAGTTCCTGATGTGTTGTATATCAATGTCATTAAAAGACTGGAATTTAATTTTCTTAAGCACTTTCAATATAAACATATACAAGAAGGTTGCTAGCATATCATGAATTAATGGGAATCAAACAGCAATTCTTTCCTCAGGTAGTTTAGACACTTCTTCAACTTCAACCTTGAAGGGTATTGTTGCTCTCAGAGCCTTTGTACTTGTACCAATTTGCACACACCAGAAAGTAGTGGCTCCTAGAGCAGCAATCAAGTAATAGAAGTAATCCAATCTCCCCCAATTTCCAGTTGCAGTCCCCTCAGTCGTCCGATGAACTATGCTGATTAACAAGCTACCATTTCAGTGCCAAGATTTGGTTACCAACCTCACTGCCAAACCAATTGCATGAGTGACCTGTACAGGCTTTAACCTAAGACCTCAAATTTTACACATTATCAAAAAAGAAACGACAATGAAAACGGAAATTATTGGGAATTATAACAACAATAAATATATTAAAAAAGAAATTTTGCTTCCAAGTAAAAGGGCATACATATGTCCAATCCCTCTCCCCTCCTTTCCTTGACAAAAAAGGAAAAGAACAAAGGGTCTCTAGTAAGGAACTAAAATGCAAGGTCTCCTTAAAGTTATAAACATAGCACCCTAGCACTACTAACCATCGATCTTTATCTATTTCCGAATAGGTATAATAAAGCCATCTAAACATAATAAACTAATTCTGGATCCTCTGCATCACCCTTGAATAAATAACCGGGGGAGACAAGGTTTTCATTACCTCTTTAACTACATACATCATAAGGCTCCCTACCTCTATCTCCCTCGTTGACTCCATCTTTTTCTTCAGTCACAAGGAATGCCCTTTCATGACTCAGGTTGCAATCTCTATGAAACCAGAGTAGCTCTTAGGAAATGATAAATCATCAGCTGTAAATATCTAATTGAGACACTCAGATTCCAAGTCCAATGTTATACTTTTTCCTCCTATGCCTTGGAACAACGTTCTTCTGTGTCACACCTCAAGCATATACATTCTTACCACTGCAACGAGTGAACTCTCCGGAGGGCACGGGCTGGTCTTCGCTTCTCCACAACCGGAATGACTTTTTCCATTAGCTGCAGCACACATACACAAGAAAGTCAACTACATGATAGTCGCTATTGTCCCTCATCTTCCAATATCCTATTCCTCTGAATCAATTTTTTATCTAACCTCACTCAGATGCATAAATGACACTGAAACCAATACTCATGGATGTCAAATATTGCCAAAACTCAAAAATTGGGAAACTATTCTTCTCTTCCCATATAAACTATATAAAGATGCAGACACATTCTTCAAAGAAATTAGTTTTAAAAAAAATACATTCAACCCACTTGATTATGATCTACTGCTGATCCATTAATCTTCAATATTTTCCCCTTCTACAATTTCATGAGGAAACAAATATCACCCACAAGTTTCTCAGAGTATAAAAGATGATTGAATATAACAGATATATCAATTTCCACAATCACACTAAGATAAAATCTCAAAGCATGTGTTTTCTTGTTTAGTTAGATTAATACATGCAAACATGCATGGAAGTCTATAATAAAGCTTCTAACCAAACCATTTCCCAGTCATTATAAAGGTTCACCATAGTGATTGTCTTGACTACTCCAAACCCAAAGCTTAAATAATCTGGAGGACTGTGATCATATAATAAGAATGTTCCTTTTTATAATCATATTGACCATAGTGATACTTTCCTAGTGTCTTCCCTTGTGGACGTAGACAAGGATCCAACTGCACATATTGGTTGCACAGGTTCTTTCAATCATAAAAATATTTCTTGATCTATTTCAATTATCTCATAGCAGTGTCCCCATAAAACAAAATGCGCTCCCTCCAAAAAAGAACCCATGTTTGGAAGATGTATTTGGCTAAGGCAAAGTGTTTGGTAATATTAGACTAAACTAATACAAATTAATACACGTACATTCAAAATAACAAAGCTATCAGTCTTAAAAAATGAAACGACTGTGTAAACATTGGTCTGAGTAAAACATCCAAAACCTAAATAGTTATATATCATCAAAAGAAATGATCAACATGTCACTATGCATTCATGCTGTATGTTTGCCTCAGTCATGAAAAAAGGTAAACCAAATTTGATAGGCCAGGCTTTTGGATTAATTATTTGTTTCAATTTTTTTTTTTGGGGGGGGGGAAGGGAGGGAGGAAATGACACATGATCTTCTACAGTTTTAAAGAAATTTGAATAACAAAAATGAATGTTCATATGAAAAACAATACTTAGAGGTAAATTGTTATTCAGGATTGACAAAAGATTCAGGCACACTTTGTACATTAAAGAATTTAGCTTGACAACAAAAGAGAATATCATAGAGTCAAATTTATTATTATATTGGAAGCATTGAGAGATCATAGAAACCCCATTACTAATGAAAAGATATTTTGAAAAGAAACCCACGCTTCCAACAGAAAAATGATAACAGATTTCCTCTGCTAAGTAGAAACTCTAAATATCTTATCTCTAAACATCATGCTACATGAATAGATATTTTGAAAAGAAACCAATGCTTCCAACAGAAAAAAGATAACAGATTTCCTCTGTTAAATAGAAACTCTAAATATCCGATCTCTTAACATTATGCTACATCTATGCCCACAAAATATATAGTTCAAAATGAACAAAATGAAGGATTATTGGTGCAGATTTTCTAGTTTCCTCTTCCTTTTTTGAGCAGGAATTACAAAATAGTTATAATGTTTTATCATGATTTTGGCACTAGGTAATTTAAGGGTGATTATTGAATGCCAAAATCATCAGCTATTTTTTTTGGGTGCAGTGGAGATATAATTGTAACGTTTCACTTGTAATTTCTGCATTTTTCTGTTTAGGCCTAGATGGACACATTGTCTACCTCTTAACATATTTTTCATTTTATCAAAATTTTATGTTTCTTATCCTAAAAAGAATCGCTATAAGCCGAAGATCAGAGTCTGATAAAATGCAGTCCCTTGCCATATCAATAAATTACTTGCATCAGGAGCAGAATGAATACCTGCTTACGTCTTTCCTCAGTCCTCTCAGCCTGCAATAGAAAATATTTTGTTAAACAATGGAGCATGCAATAAATGTCAAGGCTACAGAAGTAAGCAAGTAAAACACAGACAACTCTGTTGAATATTTTCTGAATAATGTTTTTTCTCTCTCAGTCTGGTGGCACGTTACATAATTTTAGTTAGTGATTTTTTTCTTTTTGGTGCTGGGCATCTGTTTGGCCAGCATGGCTAGGCTTCTTGGCTCTCTTTGTTATACTTTGTGGACTGCTTTGCAGTGTGTTTGTTCTTAATAAATTTCCTTCTTTCAGAAAAAAAAAAAAAAAAAAGCTAGACACAGATATGAAAGTACAAGGTCTTAACATCAACTTAAAAGCCAAACACATTACAATTAAGATAATTGAACAGTACATGACTTTGCTCCCACAAACTCATGAACCAAGTCTTTATGTACATACATTAGAATTCCAACCCCATTTCTCTTTGTATAGTATACCGAGCAAGACGAATGCAATTGAGACAACAGGCCAAGTATTAAATGTTCAATATTAGTTCACTAACTTTCAAAAGCACGCTTGAACAGGTTCACAGGCTTGATTATCTGTGTCATGGATTAAAATTATTTGTAAAATTCCGTAATGTTATAATGGAATTGAAACTCATTTGCCAGACTTGAGTTAAAATTCATGTAAACTTACTCAAATTTTCCTACTTAAATTAAATTGTCACTTAAGAACACCTAGATGACGTATGCAAGTACTTCAAATCATTTATCTGTGCACTTTGAAAAAACGTAATGAAATATAATACAGCCATTTTGTATGAATACATATGCATAACATAAATATGTAGATATCTACAAAGATTCATCTCTATAAAAAAAATTAAATAAGATCTCATAACATAAATATGTATATATATATACATATGCATAACATAAATATATATATATATATATATATCTTCAGTCAAGCCTCTTATTCAAGAGCTTGGTCATGAAACATAGCTTGACCCCGACTTAACTATCAAGCTTGAGTTTGTTCCCTTACAGCCCTGGTGACAAATGATAAATAAGTTTTCAATGGGATGAAACAGGACAGGGTAGTGGTATTTTCTGAAAGTATGACTATAATGCTTTAATGAAATACAAGTGGAACTTTGTCATAGCTGATCTTTTAATGACACAAATGAAAAATCAACAGCTTTCACCATAAAAGGCAGACTGGTATTATAAATAAGTCTTGAGATTGCCCTTCATCACCATATGTTTTTCTTTTGGAATTGTGTAGTTGTAATTGACACGGTGTTTGCAGCCTCAGAAAACGAGACAGATGAAAGAAAAACTAGTTTTGTTGCAAAAGTTTAACATTTAGTGTCAAACCACACTAACTATCCTGAATACTGATGGGGACTCAAATACAACTAATTTTGTCCCCATAACCCAGATGTTCGGTTCTGAAATCACACTACTAGAAGCACATTTGCAAACCACACAATTCAGTAGGCAACTAGAGAACAATACAATACCAATTTAATTACCTTCTCTTTCAAAAGCTGCTCGTTCTCCTCCTCTAATCTGACCGCCAATGATTCCAACTCCACTTGGTATGCCTAAAATCCAAAAAAACCCACAAACAACAAAACACAAAATAAGTAAAAATAAATAAAAATATAACACAAACACCACAATTTAACATTTCATCAAAACCCCATTTACACACCTGCTTCCTCTCTCGGGACCTGGCCGCTGATTCACGGTTCTTGATCATCCTTCGCTGTCTCTGCTGTGCCACCTTATCCATAGGCTCCAAAACGGCGCGCCCTCTCTTCCCTCTCCCCACTCCTCCACTCCCAACCATCTCAACCCCATTCCCAAACCCAATTATCGACCCTTCAACCTTATCAATCGAACTGAACGGGCTGAGCTGCGGCATCGGATCAAACGAAAATACACCGCCGCTCAATCTCTCCGTCTCCGGAGGCGGCATTGCAAGCGGCATATCCTTAATGTCGTCCTCCTCCACGGCCCCGGCCCGAGCCAAAAAGTCCTCCAGAGTCATCAAATCATCCGGAACCTCCTCTTTACACCCCTTCCGAGCCTCGCCGGACACAATTTCCCGCCAGACCTCATCGACGGTCTTCTGCGGCACCGCCGCAGAGGAGGTGCTCATTTCTGCGGCGGAGGCAGTGTTGATTAGGGTTATTTGGGCGTCGAGGAGGGTTGCGTCGGTCATGGGGGTGGGGTTCGGGTCATAGAGGAGGCCGTCGATGGTCATCGAGCCGATTGGCATGGACGACGTCGTATTGGTGCTGTGATAATCACTGATGCCGTTGCTGTGGTTGTTCAGGGTTTGGGGGTGAGCGGAGGAGGAAGATGGGGTTGCTGAGGGTTTGGGTTTTGTAGCGGGGGAATTGGAAGAAGGGCGTTGCGAGAGATCCGAGTTTCGTGATCTTGACGACGACGACACTAGTTTTGAAGACGCCATCTTTTCCGTCGCCGATTTGTCAGGCCTCTCTCTCCCCTCTACACTTTACACTGCCGACTCTGTCCACTCTCTCTCTCTCTAGAAAATGAAGTTTTTAGGGTTTGGTTTGTTTTTTCTGTTGGGATCAGGAACGAAACAAGGCGCAGCAGAGCAGCAGCCTTTTTCAACGAGCGAGCAGTTCACTTTCCAGAACCTGGTTTTTATTTATTTTGAATTTTTCGATGGGACCGACCAAACAGAATCATATAGTACCGCCGAGTACCGAGATTTATGATTGCGTTGTGTTGTGGGTCCTACGGAGTACCCACGCGGGCCCCACAGAATAGCGAAATCAAACAGGCAGGTGCAGTGAGTACGTAGGTGGTATCGTTGTAGGTGAGCATAGCCTGTTGGCCGAATTTGAATGCGTTTCCGAGTATACTGTTGATTGGACAAAAAAGAAACGAGTAATGTTGTTGACTGGGGCTACAGTTCGGGAAATCCTAGCTGTACGGGCGGCTGAGACGGCTGTGAGCAACCCTTGGAAAGAGCATCACTGAAAACCCCAGCATTGATTTCTTTCAATTTTTATTTGATATATTTAATCATAGAAGAATGTTGGCAATTTCCTTTCTAACCTTCTAACTTCTCTTTTTTACTGTCACTTCCCTTTCACTTAAACCAATATTTTCCTATTTGCCCTTTTTATTGTTTAAAATAATCAACAATAAAAAAGGGGGTTCTTCAATCACTCGATCCCCACCCCACCTCGCCCTCGCCCCACCTCTTCCTCCTCCTCCGGTTGGTCCATGAAATCGGACAATTCAGGTTCGTAGAAAGTTCGATCCCCACATCCATTTTCCAACCCACCCATGTTTGATATTTATTTTATTTTATTTTACAATACCTTCTTCTTCACACATCTCTGCACAAAAACATGAATATGATGATTTTGTCATCTTTGTATTTTGTTATTTCGCAAAAACCCAAATTTCAGGGAGGATGGTGGGCTAGAACCGATACATAGAGATTGGGGAGGAGGTAGGGGTGGGTGTGGTGAGAAATTGCAGGGAGGGTGGGTGCGGTATGAGTGCAGGGATGATGGAGAAAGGGGAAAGGGACGGTGGGGGTCTTCCAAATGGTTTTGAATATGGGTTAAGGGGAGGGAGCTGGAAATTTTTTTCTGCAAAACAAGCAGGCTCACAAATCGTGTTAGGATTTTTGCGACTCAATTAAGACTCAAGAGGTGCATGTGGAGTTTCATTTGTTGACTTTGCCAAAGCAAAGGAGTCAATTTGCTTAATCAATGGGGTCCAAGTGTGAGGATGGGTCGGGGTGGAGTGGTGGGTTATGAAGATGGGTCCGGGTGCGTGCTAGAGAGAGAATGTGATAGTGGGAGAGAGTAATAAAAAAGTTGTAAAATTTTTGAATAAAAATATTTAATAAGGGTAAATTTGGAAAATAAAAGTTAACTTATTTGCTGCATTAATGATATTGCTTTTAGTGCAAGAAACTCGCATACATCAAAAGATTTATAGGAAGGAACAAAGAGTAGTCACCCTAGGACAGCTAAGTCTTTCCACTAAGGTCATCAAGTCAGCTGGGAGCTTCCTGTAAGGCCAGAAACACCTGAACTTTTCTTTTGTTATTTAAACAGTGTGCTTCGGCGAAATTTTACATGGATAAAAAGCTTCATATATGCCAATGCTCTTATTGAATGTAGAAAGAACGTCAAAAGGATCTGTTGGTGTCCAAAATACTTAAAATTACATTACAGTACAAGATGTTGCCCAATAAGCGAATCGTATTAAATTTGCATAAATGGATCACCTTCAATCAAAGATCAGACACTTCATTGTCAACAAAGAAGGAGCCAGTAGGGCCATCATTGGGCAGCAATGCTAACTTCACAATCCTGGCACCACCTTCTTCGACAGGCAAGACGCCGGTATTGACGTTTATCTCTGATTTGACAAAGCCAGGGCAGACCGAATTAATACGAAAATTGAGATACTTCTTTGCTAGAATCCTTGTATATGCGTTCAGTGCTGCTTTTGAGACTGTATAGGCAGGCGTAGAAGAAGGCCAGCCCTTACTTTCAAGTGAACCCTCCTTGAAATCTTTTAGAAACTCAATCAATACCTCATCTACTCTCTCTTCTGTTAGGTTTTCGGCATCAGTAAAAACTCCTCTAGCCCAACCGCTTGGTATGTTGTTTAACATCCCCAAGCCAGACGAAACATTAACAATTCTGGGTGAGTCAGATAACTGGAGGAGTGGGATAAGTGCTTCAGCTGTTCTTTTAGCACCATAATAGTTTATTTGCA